ACCCCATCAAAAAGAATTACAGACCAATATCCTTGATGAACATGGATGCAAAAATTCTCACCAAAATGCTAGCCAATAGGGTACAACAGTACATTAAAAGGATTAATCACCAAGACTAAGTGGGATTTATCTCTGGGCTGCAAGCGTGGTTCAACAGCCACAAATCAATCAATGTGATACTATACATTAATAAAAGAAAGAACAAGAACCATGTGATCCTCTCAATAGATGCAGAAAAAACATTTGACAAAGTACAGCATCCTTTCTTGATCAAAACTCTTCAGAGTATAGGGATAGAGGGTACATACCTCAATATCATAAAAGCCATCTAAGAAAAACCCACAGTGAATATCATTCTCAATGGGGAAAAACTGAGAGCTTTCCCCCTAAGGTCAGGAACATGGCAGGGATGTCCACTATCACCATGGCTATTTGACATGGTATTAGAAGTCCTGGGGCACCTGGGTGGCTCAGATGGTTAGGCGTCTGCCTTTGGCTCAGGTCATGATCCCAGGGTCCTGGGATCGAGTCCTGCATCGGGCTCCCTGCTCCGCGGGAAGCCTGCTTCTCCCTCTGCCTCTGCCTCTCTCTCTCTCTCTCTCTCTCTCTCTCTCTGACTCCCATGAATAAATAAATAAAACATTAAAAAAAAAAAAAGAAGTCCTAGCCACAGCAATCAGAGAACAAAAAGAAATCAAAGGCATCCAAATTGGCCAAGAAGAAATCAAACTCTCACTGTTTGCAGATGATATGATACTTTATATGGGAAGCCCAAAAGACTCCACCCCAAAACTGCTAGAACTCATACAGGAATTCAGTAAAGTGGCAGGATATAAAATCAATGCACAGAAATCAGTGGCATTCCTATACACCAACCAGAAGACAGAAGAAAGAGAAATTAAGGAGTCGATCCCATTTACAATTGCACCCAAAACCATAAGATACCTAGGACTAAATCTAACCAAAGAGGCAAAGAATCTGTACTCAGAAAACTGTAAACTATTCATGAAAGAAATTGAGGAAAACACAAAGAAATGGAAAAATGTTCCATGCTCATGGATTGGAGGAACAAATATTGTGTAGATGTCAATGCTACCTAGAGCAATCTACACATTCAATGCAATCCCCATCAAAATACCGTCCATTTTTTTTCAAAGAAATGGAGCAAATAATCCTAAAATTTGTATGGAACCAGAAAAGACCCCAAATAGAGGAATGTTGAAAAAGAAAAGCAAAGCTGGCGGCATCACAATTCCGGACTTCAAGCTCTACTACAAAGCTGTCATCATTAAGACAGTATGGTACTGGCACAAAAACAGACACATAGGTCAATGGAACAGAATAGAAAGCCCAGAAATGGACCCTCAACTCTATGGTCAACTAATCTTCAACAAAGCAGGAAAGAATGTCCAATGGAAAAGACAGTCTCTTCAACAAATGGTGTTGGGAAAATTGGACAGCCACATGCAGAAGAATGAAACTGGGCCTTTTCCTCACACCACACACAAAAATAGACTCCAAATGGTTGAAAGACCTCATTGTGAGACAGGAGTCCATCAAAATCCTAAAGAAGAACACAGGCAGCAACCTCTTTGACCTCAGCCGCAGCAACTTCTTCCTAGAAACACCGCTAAAGGCAAGGGAAGCAAGGGCAAAAATGAACTATTGGGACTTCGTCAAGATAAAAGGCTTTTGCACAGCAAAAGAAACAGTCAACAAAACCAAAAGACAACTGACAGGACGGGAGAAGATATTTGAAAATGACATATCAGATAAAGGGCTAGTATCCAAAATCTATAAAGAACTTCTTAAACTCAACACCCAAAAAACAAATGATCCAATCAAGAATGGGCAGAAGACATGAACAGACATTTCTCCAAAGAAGACATCCAAATGGCCAACAGACACGTGAAAAAGTGCTCAACATCGCTCGGCATCAGGGAAATCCAAATCAAAACCTCAGTGAGATACCACCTCACACCAGTCAGAATGGCTAAAATTAACAAGTCAGGGAACGACAGATGTTGGCAAGGATGTGGAGAAAGAGGAACCCTCTTACACTGTTGGTGGGAATGCAAGCTGGGGCAGCCACTCTGGAAAACAGTATGGAGGTTCCTCAAAAAGTTGAAAATAGAGCTACTATATGATCCAGCAATTGCACTACTGGGTATTTACCCCAAAGATACAAATGTAGGGATCCGAAGGGGTACGTGCACCCCAATGTTTATATCAGCAGTGTCCACAATAGACAAACTATGGAAAGAGCCCAGATGTCCATCGGCAGATGAATGGATAAAGAAGAAGTGGTATGTATATACAATGGAATATTATGCAGCCATCAAAAGGAATGAAATCTTGCTATTTGCAGCAACATGGTTGGAACTGGAGGGTATTATGCTGAGCAAAATAAGTCAATCAGAGAAAGACATGTATCATATGACCTCACTGATACGAGGAATTCTTAATCTCAGGAAACAAACTGAGTGTTGCTGGAGTGGTGGGGGGTGGGAAGGATGGTGTGGCTGGGTGATAGACATTGGGGAGGGTATGTGCTATGGTGAGCGCTGTGAATTGTGGAAGACTGTTGAATCACAAACCTGTACCTCTAAAACAAATAATAGATTATATGTTAAAAAAAAAAGAAGAAGAAGATAGCAGGAAGGGAAGATTGAAGGGGGGAAATTGGAGGGGGAGACGAACCATGAGCGACTATGGACTCTGAGAAACAAACTGAGGGTTCTAGAGGGGAGGAAGGTGGGGAATGGGTTAGCCTTGTGATGGGTATTAAAGAGGGCATGTACTGAATGGAGCACTGGGTGTTATATGCAAACAATGAATCATGGAACACTACATCAAAAACTAATGATGTAATGTATGGTGATTAACATAACATAATAAAAAAAAGAAAATAGAGGAAAAATATTATAAAAGAAAGAAAAAATAATATACACCTAAAAACAAGATAGTTATTAGATTACCTCTGGGTGGCAGGGAAGGTGATGCCACAGGGCAACATAGAAGTCTTGATGATGTCTATTTCTTAAATTAGGCAGTAGCCACGTGGTTGTTTGTCTTATTATTCTTGAAACTTCACATTTATAGTATAAATGCTCTTTCCTATGTACAAAATATTTCAAAGTAAACTTTTTTAGGTGTCAAGATTTTTTTTTTTTTAATAAATTGGAATTCCATTGAATTTAACCAAGTTGAAGTCCTTGGTGAATTTGGACAAAGTGGTTTCAGTGGAGAAGCCAAACTGCAGTGGGCTGAAGGGTGATGGGCAAGCAAACAGGTAGAGGCAGCCATTGAGAAAGGCAGGGGATGGAGAGGGAGGAAGCTGGGACAGAGTCAAGGGTCATAGGAAGGAAGTTTATAGGAGGAATGGGGGAAATTGGTTTATTTTTTTTAGTTTTTTATTTTTTTATGTTTTAAAGATTTTATTTATTTATTTGAGAGAGAGAGAATGAGAGAGAGCACGAGAGGAAAGAGGGTCAGAGGAAGAAGCAGACTCCCTGCTGAGCAGGGAGCCCGATGCGGGACTCGATCCCGGGACTCCAGGATCATGACCTGAGCTGAAGGCAGTTGCTTAACCAACTGAGCCACCCAGGCGCCCTGGTTATTTTTTTTAAAGGGAGCAAATCTTGGGACACCTGGCTGGCTCAGTTAGTGGAGCATGCAGTTCTTGATTTCAGAGTTGTAAGTTCAAGCCCCATGTTGGTGTAAAGATTACTTAAAAATAAAATATTTTTATGCTGAGCGAAATAAGTCAACCAGAGAAAGACATGTATCATATGATCTCACTGATATGAGGAATTCTTAATCTCAGAAAACAAACTGAGGGTTGCTGGGGTGGTGGGGGTGGGAGGGATGGGGTTGCTGGGTGATAGACACTGGGGAGGGTATGTGCTATGGTGAGCACTGTGAATTGTATAAGACTGTTGAATTACAGACCTGTACCTCTGAAACAAATAATACATTATATGTTTAATAAAAAAGAAGAAGAAGATAGCAGGAAGGGAAAAATGAAGGGGGAGAAATCGGAGGGGGAGATGGACCATGAAAGACTATGGACTCTGAGAAACAAACTGAGGGTTCCAGAGGGGGGTGGTGTGGGGGAATGGGTTAGCCCCGTGATGGGTATTAAAGAGGGCACGTACTGCCTGGAGCACCGGGTGTTATACACAAACAATGAATCGTGGAACACTACATCAAAAACTAATGATGTACTGTATGGTGATTAATATAACATAATAAAAAAATTAAAAATAATTAAAATATTTTTTAAAAATAAAAGGGGGCAAGTCTTAGAGGGGATAGAACAAACACTTTTACATTTGGGTCTTGATTTGGAAAAATAGAGGTCTGTCCCAAAAATGTTGCTCCCAAAGTTGTCCTAGCCTATGCTCCTTAATTGCAAAAGTTGCTTTTTTAAAGCTGCTGAGCCCTGAAGAAAGTCAAAACGAAATCTCTCTCTTAGATGTCATTTGAAATTTTTGGTTCTCCATTTGGATTCAGAAGCCTTTGTGAGAATACAGTGCCCATCTTTCCCTTTGAGCAGTTCTTATTTACCTGGTATTTCATGCTCTCTCTGAGCTTCGGTGCAGAGGAGTAATCTATTTGCTTAATTAAAAAAGTGGGGGATTTTCCTTCTCTTTCATCACTTTGGTGTTTACCATACCAAAATATGTGTTTTAGTAATTAATAAAGATTTGAGGAAACGGTGGAATTCATCCATCCCTGGAAGAAAGTACTTTGAGCACTGCCTAACACAACAGAAGGCAACATTTGTGCTTTTCACATTAAAGTTTTAAACAAATAAGTGAACAATAAAGTTCTAAATTGAATCTTCAGAGATATTTCAATAGCAGTAAAATTTGGAACATTCTACCAGTACAGTCGTTTAGACAGTATTTCACATATAGAGATGGATAATGGATAATAAAATATTGTTGCCATGACTATAAATTACAAACACGTACTTTCTTCCTTTCCCAATGCAGTACGAGTATTAAGTACTCCCACTCAGGAGAGACAGATGGCACGAGGCTCTTGGTCGTCTGTGATGTAGCCCTCGGGAAGTGCATGGACTTGAACAAAAAAGACTTCTCCTTGTCAGAAGCACCACCAGGTTACGACAGTGTCCATGGGGTGCGAGCAACGGCCACTGTCACCACAGACTTCGAGGTATTTGTTTCAAGAAACAGGCAGAGAGGCTCCTGTTTTTATTGAATATGCTTAAATTTAAGTAATTATTGCATATCTGTGACTCCTTGAATTCAGTATTTTCTAAACTAGCAAACGTGCAATTCTGCTTTTTTTTTTTTTTTAAGATTTTATTTATTTATTTGACAGAGAGAGACAGCAAGAGAGGGAACACAAGCAGGGGGAGTGGGAGAGGGAGAAGCAGGTCTCCTGCTGAGCAGGGAGCCCGATGCGGGGCCCGTCCCAGGACCCTGGGATCATGACTTGAGCCGAAGGCAGAAGCTTAACGACTGAGCCACTCAGGTGCCCCTGCAGTTCTGCTTTTATGAGAACATTTGCCAGTAAAGGTTTTTCCCTCCACCTATTCATTTCTGTTGGTTCTAGGATGATGAATTTGTTGTATATAAAACCAATCAGATTAAAATGAAATATATTATTAAATTTTGTATATCTGGAGATGAAATAAAGGACTTTCATCCTTGTAATACTACTGAAGTAGAGGAATACAGACCTGAGTTTTCAAATTTTTCAAACATTGAAGGTAAGACAGTTTTCTTGAATGCTGTTTTATGTGATATTTATAGAACTCAAACATTTTAGTTTTAGAGGAATTTATGCTCATGTTCAGTAATTGTATCTATGACTTCATATATAAATATTCCATTTCCTTTTTTATTTTGTAAAAGTAAAAACCAGGATACTTAAGAGAGCTTAAGTGATCTCAGAATCACATATTACTTCGTTAATACGCCTAAGTTGAGCTCGTACACCTCCCGACAGCTGATGCTAAAACCCACTGAAGCAATTTAAGATGTCGAAGCACAAAAAGTGTAATGGGGGTTGGTGAACTGGACAGAAGACACAGCTTTAGAATCAGGAAACTCAGGTTCAAGTATCAACTTGCCACTTAGTAGGCTGTGGAATATGAAACAAACTGCATAAGCTTTTTGGGCCTCAGTTTCTCTGTGTTGCAAATGAGATCAATATCTGCATTAAGCGAAGGTACTCCCAAAACTATAATATGCAGCTTATATATTAGTAGTAGAAATATATGAGAGGATGATAGCTTCTCAGAAAATCATAAGCCCAAACTATTATAATATTTATTAATAGCATTGTAAGAACTCATTAATATTTTTAACTGTGATCAGATTATTTTTTGTCAGAAATGTATGACTTCACGTATAAGAAAATGACTCCTGTTTTTCCTCTGGGAGCATTAAATGAAATGTCTGGCAAGAGAGTATATATTTACATTTCTAATTATATGTGTATTTTTGTAGCACCTGGTATAGAAGGGGAACATTTTTCTCATATGCTCTATTAGAAGTTTGATCTCGTGTTCCTTGGATTGAAAGTCTAATGAGTCTCATATTGTTCTGACATGCTTTTGTGGCACAATAAGTAATAGGGACTGACCAATCAAAATTACAGGCCAGGGAATGGAGATATCTAGATTCATGCATAAACTACACTTATAAATTCTTAAAGACTTTTGTGTACTTGTGTGTTTTTAAATGTATGTCTTTCGAGTAATTGAGTGACTGTACATTTTCAAGATGAGTCCTCAGAGTTTCTAGATTAAAAAGGCAGAGTGTCTCTTATGAAGGTTGCCCCCATTTTTCTCATGTGGGTTCACTTACTTTACAGCATTGGCTATTGAAAATCATAAGATGCCGCTTGTCCGTTTTTCCCAAAATATAATGTATGAAGGGAAGGGGAAGGAACAATGATTAAGATAACAGAAACAGACAGTGCAGGGATGGTTTTTAAAGCTAACATTATCATTTTTAATGTGTAGATTATCAGTTAGCAGACGCCAAACCTTTCAGCAACATCAAGTCTGGCCTGCAGGATGTCTCTGGCAATTCAGTTCCTCTTGAGGATGTTCACATCAAGGGAAAAATAATAGACTTTGTAGCCCAGGTATGTTCTTTGTGGTTTTATGATACTTTAAACAGATAAATAACAATTTGATTATAGTCGCATGAATTAAACAAAACATGCATTTCCAATTCATTGAGCACCTGCTACATACCAGGGACTGTTCTAGGTCTAGGCATACAGTGATGAACAAAAGAAAAACTGCCTTGTAGAGCATACATTTTATTGGGGGACTAGGCAAAACACATGATAAATAAATAAAATGTATCATACAGGAGACTAAACCACGTGGACATCTAGGGTTCACTCATTCCAGGTGGCAAAAACAGCATGTGCAAAGGCCCTGTGGTGGGAGCAAGCCTGATATGGTCAGGGACATCAAGGAGGCCACTGTGGCTACAGCAGAGTAGAATGGGAAAGCATGGCAGGAGATTGGATCAAAGAGGTGGTGTGGGGGTCAGCTCACATCAGGACACAGGCCATACTGAGTGAATGGATTCACTCATTTCTGAGTGAAATGGAAGCGTTTAGAAGGCTGACCAGCTGTAGATCAGAGGTTCCACAGACCCCTTCCTTGCGTTAGACTGATTTGCTAGAGTGGCTCACAAAACTCAGGGAAACATTTTACTTACGACATTAATAGTTATTACAGAAGAATACAACCGAGGAACAGCCAGCTGGAAGAAATGTGTAGGGCAATGTGTAGGAAGGGGCACAGAGCTTCCCTGCCTGGTCCAGGCATGCCACTGCCATGAATCTCCACGTGTTCACCAGCTTGGAAGCTCTCTGAAGCCTGTCTTTTTGGGTTAACACAGGCATGATTGATTAATAAATCATTGACCATCAGTGAGTGAACTCAATCTCCAGCCTCTCTCCCCTCCCCTGAGGTCCGAGGGTGGGGCTGACAGTTCCAACCCTATAATCCCCTTGGAAACCAGTCCCTATCCTTAGGTACTTTTCAAAAGGCACCTCTTTGACATAAACTCAGGTGTGGTTGAAAGGGGTCTGTTATGAACACCAAGACACCTACGTTGTTCTTATCACTTAGGAAATTCTGAGGGTTTGGGGAGCTCTGTGCCAGAAACAGGTAAAAGACCAAAATAAATGTTTCTTATTATAAATCACAGTATCACAGGGGGGAATTGCTGGAGATTCTGTAGCTGCTGAGATTCTGTAGCAGAATTCTGCTGTTCTGTAGCGGGGAGGAGGATGAGAGCTAATGCTCAAGTGCAGTGCTTGGCCTCAGCCAGAAGCATGCAGCTAGTGCAGCTTTGGTCATGGAACAGAAAGTAGAGTTCATGGGCAAATGTGCAGGCAGGCTGCCAGTATACTGGGAAGGCTCTCTGTTTTCTAAGATTTGACTTCCTCATTGGTACCTAAACACTTGAGGACTACACTGACCCACTAAAGACCTCTTAGAAAAATAAGAACATCTGAGTCCAGTATTGTCATATTCTCCTCTCTTCAGAAGGAAATCAGATTAATGGTAGTGGTCACCTTAAACTGGGGAAATGGGGTATGGTGGGTGGGACAGGGCATGCTACCCATAATATCTGTACCAGTTTGCGTATGTCTGATTGCTGCCTCTTGGGCCTACTCTGATCCATACCCATAACCCTGAAGAGCTCAGGGAGATATTACAGATTTTGGGAGACCCTGACGTGGACTCATGGTAAATGTTCTGACCTATGCTAATCTCATTGGAGCCACTTAGGATGTGTGACCACAATGGTTACCACTTCCTATGAGTCAAGCCCTGGATTGAGTGTTTTAAATGCTATATTTAATCCTCCCCAAAACTCTATGAGGTGAATGCTGTGATTATGCCCATTGTTTAGATGAGGAAGCTGATACGCAGAGACACTGAACAACATGATAAAGCACAGATTTAAACCCAGATCATTCTGATTCTCAAGTCCAGCCTCTTTAACCACTGTGCAGTAGTACAACCTGGGATAGATTGTGTAAAGCAGAGAATTTGGAGTTTGGAGGCTTAGTTTTGAATCCTTGCTCATTCTTTTCTATCTCCTTCCTTGGGGAAATTACTTAACTTCTTTTTGCCTCAGTTTCCTCAAATGTAAAATGGAAATAATAATATCTGCCAGCCAGCATGTGGCTATTAAATACAATGAATATAAAGGACATAGGGCATTTTTTTCACATGCAGTATATAAAAAACTGAGTGTGTTACAAGGAGAGGCATACGTCCTCTGTACATTACTTTGGATTAGACAACTTACACCATTTGATATTTTAAACCTGATGAAGCTTTTCCCATGGATAACTTTGCCCAAAAAATAACTCATGATTTAGCAGTTAATTTTTCACTAATTTGTGATTAGACAGCTGGCTTGTAGATTGTCATTGAGAATCCAAGCAGAGGCCCAGCGGCAGGGACTTGTATGTTCGTGGCTCACATGTTTGACTCTTTTCAGAATGAGTTTAGTGTTCTTAGTTTAATAACTAAACTAAAATAGTGGTTTCATCTGAAGGTGGAAAATTAAGATGTCAAAAATTAGTACAGTGTATCAGTTTCTCTTCTAAGTTCTAGTAAAAATACTTCTGTCATCATTAGCAAAAATTTCTTGCTTTCTGAGTGCCCAGTCATATCATGGGATATACAGAGAGAGTGAAGCTGACATAGACCTGACCCCTGGGAACTCCCATCCAAAGACAGACCTGCTAACTAGATGCAGGCAGGACATCCACAGAGCAGGATAAAAACATGAACCCAAACCAAAGGACAATTAGACAGTGATCCTATCCAGCATTTATAGGTCAAGCATATGTGCCCTTGAAGGGTTTGGTAAAATTAGATATCCAAGAGAGAAATGAAGAGAGTTCTATGCATGGGGAACGTGCGTGATGTCCTCCTGGTCACCAATCTGCATGGCTCCTCTGCTGGGTGCTTTCTGACCTTCTATGATGGCTCAGAGTCACCAGACACCCAAGAAACCCTGGAATCCTATAGGATCATTTTGGGCCACAGCCAGCCTCCAGTTCTAGGGTGAGCCTGGTAAGCAGGTGGCTGTCACCAGCCAGTGAGGCCTTTGTTTGCAGAACTGTGAGAGATTCGATCTCCTGGAGGGTGCTGACTGTTGATTTGAGGACAATCACATTGTTTAAATATATGCCCCTTAAAATATTTTTCTCTGGTGCAGCACATACACTAGGGGCAACCCAGCTTACCATAAATCCAGTTGTGGGCAGCATTATGGAATAAGTTTGTTTCCTTTATTCTTTTATTTTTCATTTCAGTCTTCCCAGAGGTTATTGATGACAAATGGCTAAATATTTATTCCTTATTATTGCCACAAGTTTAAAATGTTAGTGTTTATTATATGTCTAGGGTTTTTAAAAAATTTTCAGTTGTTTAAAGACTGGCCTTTTCTTAAGCAAGGGAGTAATGTGATAAACAGAGTCCATTTGGTAAAATTAATCTGATAAGAATAGAGACAGCAGGTAGGAGTAGAAAAGAGTTGATTCAGGAATTGTCAATGGGAAGAGATGAGGATAGATGAAAAAAGCTGTGGAGGGCTATGTACAGAGAGGTAAAGGAGGGAAATGCCAAGACCTGAAAACAGACCAGATATAAGAACTATTCTGGAATAATATCTGGGTCCACGTGACACCAAGGAGGGATCAAGACCCACACATAAAGAAGCTATCTTGTCTTCTTAACGAAAGCTGCATTGCTTCTGTTAAGCCGGTGTTTGTAATATTGTAATACTAGTGACTTTTATTCCAGCCAAGGATGTATGAATTACCTAAAGTTGCAGCTGGTACGCTTTATAATGTGACGTGGACTCTACATTGCAATCATAGAATGCTCTAACTCCTGAAGCCAGGGTTGGGAATTTGAGAGACATGATAAAAATTCAAGGAATTTAAAGAAAATATGCATAATAGTTTTCATTAATAGTTGTTCCTACAAATGTTGTTCCATATGGTTTCATCAAGTATATGGATTTTTTTTCTTCAGGTCACTGTTTTTCAGACATACACCAATCAAAGTTCTGTGCCCATTGAGGCAAGATATATTTTTCCTTTGGATGATAAGGCAGCTGTGTGTGGTTTTGAAGCGTTCATCAATGGGAAGCACATAGTAGGAGAGGTAAGGGGAGAAAATGCACTGTGACTGCTCTTTGGATTCAAGGTCAGTTTCCCATTTACCCAAATCTTCCTCATCTGAGTCCCCATAGCTATGAAGGTTGAATAGCAGCCTTATCATAAAACAGAAATATTCTTTGAAGAACCAAGCATTTATACAGTTGGCTTCCATTTAAACATCCCTCCCTGATTAACTGGTTTCTGTCCCTACCTGTCCAGTGTTCATCAGTCAGTGCCTTGTAAATTCTTTGCCTAGCATTTTGAAACAGAGCAATTTCAATATCAAAAGTTTAAGAGAGGCACAATGGAAAATTGGTAAAGCCTTTATATAGTTTTGCAAAAAACTGATCCTCTGCATCCTGCTATAACAAACTGATGTGACAGTTGCCATTGTTAACTTTTTAAGAAAAGTTGTACCAAAAGAAATAACAAGTGATACAGTCTTTGTTTATTCTAAGGATTAGCCCACAGTTGCAATAATAACTCATATTTTGTTAAATGTAGGATAAACTTTATTATTTTTGTTCAACATAAAGTCCCAATCAAACTTTTTTTTTTCACTATTGACTCTGAAATATTTTGGTCCCAACTAATTAAAGAGATTTCACTTTAGTTGGCCTTTTCTGATTCAAATTCTTACCAGATAGGTACATTTTAATGATCACTTTATGTGAGTTTCCATTCACCTTAGGCTCTTAGTTTTCTGGGTCTGCCTAGGTTTTAATAAACATTGATGAAGTTTTTCTTGTTAAAGTCTGAAATCATTATTCGTATTATGACTGGTATAGAAATAATCTTTTCCAGGTTAAAGAGAAGGAAGCAGCCCACCATGAATACCGAGAAGCTATCAGTCAAGGCCATGGCGCGTACTTGATGGATCAGGATGCACCCGTATGGCTTGATTTATCCATTAGTCTAGCATACTTACCAGAAGGGAGAAAGAGTTGGAATATGACTTGAAACATGAAGTCCATAGTAGAAACTGGGATAATTTCTGCTATTTTAGGCCTAGAGTTTAACTTGTTGTTAGCAAGGGAAGGTCCAGCTGGTCAGAACCATTTGACTTACCTAAAGGTAGGAGGAAACAGGGTTGGTATTGCCAAACAAATAAGAAGACCTATTTCTGTCCTTGGGAACTGAGTTTCCCAGAAGTGACAACAAAAAGAAAACATTTGGGGGTACATAATCTTCATCTTCTGATAAAAGAGTGTAATATACAGTTGACCCTTGAGCAACACAGTTTTAAACTTTGGATCTACACTGGTAGGCGGGTTTTTTTCATTAAATACAGTACAGCACTGTAAATGTATTTTGTCTTCCTTATGGTTTTCTTTTCTCTTGCTTACTTCATTGTAAGATTTTAGTATATAACATATAACATACGAAATGTGTGGTAATTAACTATTTATGTTATCAGCAAGGCTTTCGGTCAATAGTAGGCTATTAGTAGTTAAATTTTTAGGGAGTCAAAAGTTATAAGTGGATTTTTGGCTGCACAGGGGTCAGCACCTTCATTCAAGGGTTCACTGTATATACATTTTTCCTAGGACTAAGCTTATCTAGCAATTTATCCAGTTTTCACCAAGTCATATCCCAGGAAGACATTTCTACAGGGTCCTGAGATAGGTCCAGATTCTTTTCTTTCTGTTTAATTGCTTTCCTAAGGATAAAATATGGAGAATTTGAAAGAAGGAACAGCTATCATGTCCACTAGATTTCTTTTTTTAAATATAAGATGCTTTAAATATGCCTTTGGCAGATACTAGATTGCATGCAGTCAGTTTGTAATCATTATCTCCAGTGTAGATATTTAGTTGTTTTTGAGGACAGGGCCACGTGCTTCAGATATTACCTCAGAGGATGGCACATTGCCATAGTATTATGAAAATTTGATGTTGGGTGGGGGGGAGTTACTAAAGATTAATATAGAGTTAAAGGATAAATGATTGCTTTTGACATCTAAGATAACAATTTACAGAATGGAAATAAGGAAGGAAGAGGTCATTGTTAAATAGGTAATAATGCTACCCCTGGCCAAAGTGTATATATAAAAGCCTGGGGTTCATCTGATAGGCTGACATTTAACAGTGTGGGGTTATTGTCATAAATGAAATGGTTGGCATATTTCCTCCTTGATGCTAATATATTTCCCTAGGAAAATGATCCACAGGAAAAGTCTTCACAAAGGATATTACCTATGGATAAAGTCTGGTCAGAACCATTGCTAACCAGAACCTTTGGGTCTCCCAGAATGTATTTTGCTATCCAGTGACTGTGATGTCCTCACTCTAAAATATATTATATTAATAATATAATTATATAATATATTATATATTATTACATATGTGTTACGTGTTTAATATATAAATTATATATTCTCTATTTGCTAATAGTTGGGAACATTTTATCTATGCACACACATACACATATATATACATATAAAATGATATTCTTCTCTACTTGGCAACATTATATGTGTGTATATATAAAACATAATGGATATTACTGTATTACATATCATGTTATCGTTTATAATATATATAATGTACATATGCTATATATATTATATATATGATGTTCCCAACTATCAGAAGACTAGCAAAGTGGCTTTAGACATCCAAGGGACTGAGGTGAAAATGATTTGTGATTGAAAATTATGTAGGGACACCTAAGATTTCAAAACTCATTATATTAGAAAGGAGGACAAAATTGGAAGAATGTGTCTTGCACTGAATGGTGCTCCCCACGCTCCTCACCTACATGAGTCCCCCCATATGCACCAAGATGCTGGCCCACTGGGAGCCCTTAGGGGAATCCCCACAGTTCCGGTGCCTCGTCGTCCTCAGAGGGACTTGTCACTCTTTGTAATTGAGTTCACTCGGCTGCCTTGAAACTCAGCCTTCTGGCAGGTCAAGACAAGTTACAGTTTTGTAGATTATCTGGCTTATAACGGAAGTGACATCTTGCATCTATACCCTACACAGAAACCCACACTATTATGTGACAGTCTCTTAAATGAGACCCAGGCTTTTATGCACTTCTTTTAAGGACAAGCACTATGAACTGTTCGAATAATCATCTCTGTTGTTTATCGCTTCACTGGAATCCATTTCTTTATTGGATATTCTTGCAAATGGATATCTTTGCAAATGGATATCCTTGATATCAAAAGTAATCATTTACCCCTGAAATCTATATTAGTCATTAGTATTATATGCTCCTAAACATAGTAAGTTTCATGGCAGTGCAGCCAAGTGGACTGGAAGATATGCTTGGGGTGTTAAGAGTTTCTCTGTGTAGGTATCAGAAAAAATAGATCTAGCCTCTCTTTTTTCTGCCCTAGCCATTTATGAGCTTATCTTCGTATGCAGTGATTATAATACCCCTTAAAAATAAAATGAAATACGTTTCCTAAAAAATAAAATGATGAATAAACTACAGGGTAAAGGGATAAAGTGAGGACCAAGTTAGTGAAAACTGCTCTAGCTCTATGGCTGCTGAGAGAATTGCCGCCAGATGCTGTGGAGGTCAGAAAGGCTACAGGTTCTTCAAGAAGGGGCTATATGGAGGCTGTCTGTGCATCAGAGCCCTGCAGGCAGGGCCTCTGGTGTAAAGGACAAAGGTGATGCTCCCCAGTCAGGGAAAGGTCCTGCTCCCAAAGGGCCTCCTCTCCTTCTGCCCCCTGTAGATGTCATGCCATCCCCACACCTGGGGACCGGCTGCAGGGTTCTCCTTTAGCGCTGCCAATGCCCATTTGTCTTGTAGATTCAATGCTCATTTTCTGAGAGTCTGGCAGGCTGTAATTTAAGTGGCTCATGTAATAGGGATTAACTAGCATAGAATGGATGCACTTTTGAGTAGAAAGCTGAGTAATGCGTTTCTATTTCAGGATGTTTTTACTGTTAGTGTTGGAAATCTACCCCCTAAGGCTAAGGTCCTTATCAAAATTACCTACATCACAGAACTCAGCATCCAAGGCAGCAGGGCTGTCTTCTTCATGCCTGCCACTGTGGCACCCTGGCAACAGGACAAAGTTTTGAATAAAAACATTCAGGTTTGTATGCTTAGAAAGATTTAAAGAAGTTTTTTTTAGTGATTTATTGATAGGGAATTTAAAAATATCTAAAATAATCTAATCTTTCTAGGGGCACCTGGGTGGCCCAGTTGGTTAAGCATCTGACTCTTGATTTCGGCCCAGGTCCATGATCTCAGGGTTGTGAGATCAAACCCCGAGTTGGGCTCCATGCTGGGCGTGGAGCCTGCTTAATATTCTCTCTCTCCCTCTTCCCCTCCTCTCCCACTTCTTTCTCTCTCCCTCTCTAAAAAAAAAAATAATAATAATACATGAAAAAAAATCTAATCTTTCTGGCATGAAGTCAATTTTACTGACATTTCTGCATTTAGATACATGTAATGTTTGTAAAATGAAAAGAATAAAGACACAGGCTTAATAGGTATAATATTTTTATTCTGTTCAGTCACTTAAAAAAATTTTGTGTCTGTACTACATGTTCATTATGAAGAATTTAGATAAGCATAAAGAGTGCAAATAAACCAGAAGAAAATTTAAACAATCCTTAATTCCATTGCCAGAGATAGTAGCCCAAAGCTACTGGTTAATGCTTTGTTTCCCTTTTGTACATATTTATATAAATTATGTGTGTGTATATGCATACAGAGGTATGATGTATATGTGTGTGTGTATACCCACATACAGACATATGTATAGTTGAAAATCTCTGTTAAATTGGTCATAAATTATCCCTGATATCAGTTGCATTTTAGAAGTTATTGTTATTCCATGAGCAAATGTTCTGTGTCTCACTACTCAAAAGTGAGACTAGCTGTCTTGTTGCTCCTGTAGATTGTGCTCTTGATAACATTACATTCAGCTTAGAGTTCTCATTGTGAAACTTAGTAGATACTTAGTTATACATATATATTTTTCTTTTAACAGGATACAGTAGAGAAGATTTATATAAAGAAAATAGGAACAAGACAAAGGTTAGTACCAAAAATATAAAACCTCTTCAGACATCCAGTGGACATTAGTTTTATGGTTTCAAATTTTACTTAAAATTATATAAAATGACAACAAGTATTTGTTTAATATTTAAGATCATAGACAACTTTTTCTTCTTTTTTGGTAGCTTCTCTTTAAGTATGTCCATTGAGATGCCATATGTGATTGAATCCATTTCTAGTGATACACATAAACTGAGACAAAAGGTTAGTAAATCTTTGTTTAATTTTTTAGGAGCTTTTATTTTAGCATTAGTTTTATTTTGTCAAGGCAATACATGCAGGTGGTTTAAAAAGTTAAAAAATAATGTTAACAACAGGGGTGTCTGGCTGGTTCAGTTGGTGGAACATGCAACTCTTGACCTTGGTGTTGTGAGTTTGAGCCCCACACGGGGTGTAGAGATTACTTAAAAAATAAAATCTTAAAAAAGAAGAAGAAAATAATGCTAACAATGGCTTCTCACAAGAAGCAGCAGCCTGGTTCTGCCCTGCCTCATCCAGACCAACCTCTAGAGACAGTGAACCACTTTAAATATTTTACCTCCTTTCTGTGGCCTCCAGAGTTGTAAATGCTCAGGTTTTTTTACTGCTTGTTCTTGATTCATCTGATTCAAAATTATTTTTTGATTTCCTGTTGTGGTAGATGAAAATTTAATTCTCTTATCTCTCCACTAACCTCACTCACACATAGATTAAAACTCTTTAGAATACTATTGGTCACTGTTAAATGCTCCCAATAATTCAGATAACGTTTTTCCCGAGACCTTCCTCCCTTCTGTCTCTCCACTCCACTTCATTACCACAGGACAGCTGTTGTCCCAGGGCCTTTCTTTATGATTCTCCTTTGTAGGGCTTTTCCTCTTTATCCTCTTTCTTGTTTTTTTCCCCTCCATTTGGCAGAGCACAGCTTCCATTAATTTCCTGAGCTTGTGGGCAGCAATGTCTGGAGCTATCCTTATTCCATGTGTGAATGCTGATCATTTGCTGAGGTGTTTAATCCTGGGTTGAAAATCATCTTCCTCAGAATATTGAAAACATTATCTTCTAGCTTCCAGTGTTACTTTTGAGAAGTTAAATGCTATTCTTATCCCCCATTCTTTGTATGTAGTCTGTTTTGTTTTGTTTTGTTTTAAATTCTTCAAGAATTTCAGATCTCTTGGGGCGCCTGAGTGGCTTGGTTGTTAAGCGTCTGCCTTCGGCTCAGGTCATGGTCCCAGGGTCCTGGGATCGAGCCCCGCATCGGGCTCCCTGCTCGGCTGGAAGCCTGCTTCTCCCTCTCCCACTCCCCCTGCTTGTGTTCCCTTTCTCACTGTGTCTCTCTCTGTCAAATAAATAAATAAAATCTTAAAAAAAAAAAAAAGAATTTCAGAACTCTTTATCCCTGGTTTTCTGAAATTTCATAAGAATGTGATATTTAGGGGCACCTGGGTGGCTCAGTCGTTAAGCATCTGCCTTCGGCTCGAATCATGATCTCGGGGTCCTGGGATTGAGCCCCGCATTGGGTTCCCTGCTCGGCAGGAGGCCTGCTTCTCCCTCTCCCACTCCCCCTACTTGTGTTCCCTCTCTCGCTTGTCTTTCTCTGTCAAATAAATAAATAAAATCTTTAAAAAAAAAAAAAAAGAATGTGATATTCATTCATTGTGCTGGGAAATTTTTTTATATTTTTTAAAAATAAATTGTTCCTGTTTCCTTCAACTTTTGCATTGCCTTTCAATCAGGTGTCCCCTGCATTGAGCCTCTTGTTTTCTCTCTTTTTCTCTCCTGTTGACCATTGTATTGTTTCCTTGTTCTACTTTCTGGGTGATATTCTCAATTTTAAATTCCATTCTACTGAAATTTGTGTTTTAGTTCTCATTTTTAATTTGTAAGAACTCTTTTCTGCTCTGTAAGTATTCCTTTTTTATAGCATCTTTTTGTGTTTCATGGGTGCATTATCTTCTCTTTCTTGTCTCTCTGAAAATATAATGTATTTTTTCTTCTCTTCCCTGTGTTCTGTCCTTTTTCTTTGAGTTCCTTTTTTCTTCTTCTGTCTTTTTCTTTTTTCAGTCTCTATATTTTGTGTTAGAGGCTTTTCCTCAAATGCCTGGGTGACCTCTCTGTGTTCATCTCTAACTGAGACACAAGAAAGCTAGTTAGATGCTCTGAGGTGGGTGAAGCGAATGGACCAAAGACCCTGCCCTAGAGGCCCAGGCAGCTGGCTGGCTGTGTGGTGGTGAGTCTCGTGGTGGTGGTTTAGCCCTTCTGTGGTCATTCAGAACACCTCTAGGTTATTCATAAAGTATGACTGGGGAGAGTGACTGAGAGGCCCACACGTTAGGATGCCAACTTTGACTTCATTCCCCAGTTTGCAGCCCTATATTCCTATGCTTTGTTATGCCTCGGATTTCCCAGTGTGGATGCTATTTGCTTGAATTTCTCTAAGAAATGAATCTTTAGTTTCCTTTAATGAGAGAACAGGGTGCTAACTATTGGTGCTAGCTGCTTGGCTACTTCGGGCAGGGAGGGGGCCTGCACTAAGTCAACCGCTGTGTTCTGCAGTACCCCCAGGGTATGAGCCTTATTGGGTTGCTGTAGTCCCCCACCAGACCCGGGTAGTAGCTTCCTCCACTCTAGCTGAGTCACTTGTGATGCCTCTATCAACTTTCCATCTTTTTAAAATTTGTTGACATCTCTCAGCTGCTATTGTCTTTGATCCTATTCTCAATATCTTATGGGCTTATACCCTTTAATTGGTTCCTTTTTATGGTAGAGAATTTTAGGATTTTGCTAGGAATGGAGGTAAACACATACATTTAGTCCATCGTGAACAAGAAACCCTCTGCATCAGGTAGCTTCTGCTGTGTAACAATCTCGAAACCTTATGGTTTAGGGTGCCTGGGTGGCTCAGATGGTTAAGCGTCTGCCTTCGGCTCAGGTCATGATCCCAGGGTCCTGGGATCAAGTCCCACATTGGGCTCCCTGCTCCTTGGGAGCCTGCTTCTCCCTCTGCTTATCTCTCTCTCTCTCTCTCCATCTGTCTCTCATGAATAAATAAATAAAATCTTTAACAAAAAAAAAAGAAACCTTATGGTTTAAAACAACAATATTTGTTATTTCGCACAGTTTTGTGAATTGGCTGGGCAGTTCTAATGGGCTGCACTGGCTTGACTGGGACAGCATGGTCTAGAATGGGCTAATTCTAATACCTGGCAATTGGCCTGGTGTCAGTTGGGGTGATAACCATGTCTCTCTTCATCCAGCAGGTTAGCTCAGGTTCATTCATATAGTTAGTGGAAGAGTTCTCAGTAGCAGCAGAGGAAGGCAAGCCCCATTGCACCAACGTTTTCCAAGCCTTTTGCATCACATCTACCAATATCCGATTGACCAAAGCAAGTCACACTGGCCAACTTTGATTCAAGGGCAGAGAAATAGGTGCTACCTCCTGACGGGAAGAGACGCAAAGTCGCATTGCAAAAGGGCAAGCACACAGGAATGGAAAGTCTTTATGGCCATTTTACAATCTATCATATTGCCTTTATTGTTTTAAAGCTTATCATCCACATTTTCAAAAGTTATTTTATATTTATGAAAACTTAATTTAAAAATACGGCATAATTATAAGATTTCTATTGAATTTTCTATTTTTACTATTCTAAGTTCTAGTGTACTTACTGCTATATCCAGATAGTTCTACCTGAATACATAGATCTATAATCTTTGGATCCAGGATTTGAAACTGTCTCAGACTTCTCAATTGGACTGTGTACATCAACCTCAGAATTTCAGGAGGGTAACTGATATGATAATGGTCATGACTTCTAAAAATTTCATAATTTTGGAATTTATTACTACCTTGTTGATTCTTGATGGAGTTAGATAAATTATGCAAGGGTTTGCCACTGACGGGTAACTGCAAATTGATCATATGGTATTATTCCATTATTTACTTTGTTGTCGTTGTTTGTTTTGTAGCGCACAGACTGCAAAGCTGTAATTAGCACCATGGAAGGTAGCTCCTTAGACAGTGATGGATTCTCTCTTCACGTTGGTTTGTCTGACGCATATCTCCCAAGAATGTGGGTTGAAAGACATCCAGAAAAAGAAAGTGAGGTATAGTCCTTCTTACTTAAAAATGGGAGACACTATTGAAAAAATATTTCAGAATAGATTATTTAAATTTGGAAATTACTGATAGTCCTGAAAAATTAGCATTACAAAATGAGCTCTCACCACCCCAAGATTTTACAACTAAAAATACTTATGAAATCAGGCATGACAAACTTCTGAGGTTTCAACCAAGTCCCTCATGTGGCATGTTTCTCTATGACTGTAGTTTCTACCTTAATCCCACCAAAACCAAAATACGCCTTCAGACATTACATTGGTTAGTCTGTATATTTTTATAGTTTTAAGATATTAATACTGTAAAAGTAGATGCAAAATTATTTATGGCCATAAGACAATTTGTGTGTCTATGATGAGGAGTCTCTTCATATTAGAATAAAAATTGAGAGTGACATCAGCAAGATGGCCAAACAAGATGTCCTTTACATGTATCCCCCCCCCCAGTAACAATTATTTGACATCTATCCATGGGCAAAGTGCCATGTGGGAGTTTTGGGGTCCAGTTAGGAAATTTTGAAACCCCAGTGCAGCCCAAGACCAAAGAGAACCATTTTGAGAAGGCAGGTTTGCCCCCAGGCAACTGACTTGCTGACCATGGTCCTGGCTGCAGACACCATCTGTGCCCCCAGATATCCTGAAAGCACCCTCTACTTGGCTTCAGCCTCCTAACAGTCATAGTCTATAAGCAGACCCGTGATTCCAGGGACCCAGCAGGAGACACTTCCATCTACAACCCTGAAGATTCTAAAAGGGCCCTATTCTCAGCTCTAGCCCTCTCCTAGCTGCAGTCCACGAGCAGTCCCATTGACATAGGACCTGTTGGATACTCATGTCTGTACATCGGGAGATCCAGAAAGGGCCCTATATTCTGCTTCAGCCCCTCCAGCCATGATCAGAGACCACTCAACCTACCCAGAGACCTCATGGGAGACATCATCTGCACATTTAGAGCCAGGTCTGCAGATCTCAGCTGTGGCTATGAAACCTGAAACAGTTCCACAGCTTAGTTCCAGCTCCTCTCAACCTGTAGTCCAGGGTCAATCTTGTCCTCCCAGGGACTCATCCGTCAGCTAGGCAGGAGCCTTCCCAGGGACCTAGTGGAAGCTGCACCCATCCACACACCTGGTAATAGGTCTGCTGACTGAGGAACTGTGGACTGTGAAGTGGCATCTTGTCCCAGGCTACCCTACTGAATAAGGTACTGAAGCAGTCCCAGCCACCCAGGGACCAGACATGATCCACACCTGTCTGACCCGTGATAACAAGAATATCAACTGCAGACCACACCATAGACCCAGCAACAGTCTTGAAATTGACTTCAATCCTGCACAACTATGATGCCAGAGGTAATCCCATCAGCCAGGGAGCCTGCCACACTAGTCTGTAAAAATTAGTCTGTGTTTTCTCCTTCAGATGCACAGATACCAATGCAAGGTTTATGTGGATCATGAAGAATTAGGCAAACATGACACCACCAAAGGAAACTAATAAAGCTCCTGTAACTGACCCCAAAGAAATGGAGATCTATGATTTGCCTGACAACAAATTCAAAATAATCACCTTAAGGAAACTCAATATAATATAAGAGAACATGGAAAAACAACTAAATGAAATTAGGAGAATAACACATGAACAAAATGAGAAGTTTAATAAAGAAATACAAATCATAAAACAGAACCAAACAGGAAGTCTGGAGCTGAAGAATACAATGACAGACTGAAAAATTCAAGACAGAGCTTCAACAACTGACTTGATCATGCAGAAGAAAGAATTAAGACAGATCATTTGAAGTTAGAGGAACAAAAAGAAAAAGAATGAAAAAGAGTGAAGAAAGCCTACATGAATTATGGAGCACCATCAAGCAAATGAACATTTGTATCACAGGCATCCCAGGAAAGGAGAGAAAAGGGCAGAAAGATTATTTAAAGAAATAATATCTAGGCATGCCTGGGCAGCTCAGTTGTTAAGCGTCTGCCTTTGGCTCGGGTCATGATCCCAGGGTCCTGGGATCGAGCCCTGCATCAGGCTCCCTGCTTGGCGGGGAGCCTGCTTCTCCCTCTCCCACTCCCCCTGCTTGAGTTCCCTCTCTCACTGTCTCTCTCTCTGTCAAATAAATAAATAAAATCTTAAAAAAAAAAAGAAATAATACTAAAATCTTCCCAAATCTTGAGAGAGAGATGGACATTCAGGTGCAGGCAGTTCAAAGGACCCCAAGCAAGATCAGTTGAAAGAAGATTACTCCAAAACACATTATAATCCAAACATTAAAAATCAAGGATAAGGAGAGAATTTTGAAAGCAGCAAAAGAATGGCTCATCACATATAAGGGAACCCCCATTAGGGCTATCAGCAGATTTTTCTGCAGAAACCATGAGGTCAGGAGGAAGTGGAATGATGTATTCAAAGTGCTGAAAGGAAAAACTGCCAACCAAAAATACTACTCTTTTGGGTTCCTGGACCCAATTCCAAGGGGAAGTGGGGGGTTTCCCCACATACCACCATGTAAGTCCAGGATGTTACCTTACTTCTGACCAACTAGCTATAAATCAGAGATTTCCACAAGCCTTTCCTCAGTTTTGATTAACTTGCTAGAGCAGCTCACAGAACTCAGAGAAACATTTTACTTACTAGAACCAGTTTATTACAAAAGCATATAACTCAGGCATAGCCAGATGGAAGGGATACATAGGGCAAAATCTGAGGAAAGGGTGCAGAGCTTCCATTCCCTCTTCAGGCACATCACTCTTCCACATCTTCCTGTGTTCACCAATGTGGAAGCTCTCCGAAGCCCATGCTTTTGGGTTTTTATGGTGACTTCATTACACAGGCATGACTGATTAAAATCGTTGGCCATTGGCAATTGATTCAGTCTCCAGCCCCACTCCCCTTCCAGAAGTCTGGGGGCAGAACTGAAAGTTCTAAGTCTCTGGTCACGTGGTTGATTCTCCTGGCAACCAGCACCCCTTCTAGGCGGGATCCAAAACTTGCCTCATTAACATAACAAAAGACACCTTTATCACTCTCAGCACTTAGGAAATTCCAAGGGTTTGGGGAGATGTAAGCCAGGAACAGTGGACAAACACCAAATATATATGAATTGACCAAATACGTATTTCTTATAAATCACAATATAGCATAAACCCAGCAAAACCACCCTTCAGAAATCAAGGAGAGATACATTCCCAAACAAAAACTAAGGGAATTCATCACCACTGGTCCTGCCTTATGAGAAATGGTAAAGGGAGTTCTTGAAATGAAAGAATGCTAGAGAAACACAAGCTTCTAGTTGTGGAATGAATAAGCCATGGGAATAAAAGGTACAGCAGAGAGAGTATAGTCAATTCTATTGTAATAGCATGTGGTGACAGAGGGTAGCTATGCTTGTGGTGAGCACAGCATAACAAATAAACTTGTCAAATTGCCATGCTGTACACAGGGAAGTAATATAACATTGTGTGTCAAGTATACATCAGTAAAAAATAAAACATCCTGTCAATAGATGCAGAAGAACTGTTTGAAAAATTCAACACCCTTTCATGATGAAAGCTCTGAACAAACTGTATAGAGGGAACATACCTCAGCACAATAAAGGCCATATATGACAAACCCACAGCTAACATCATACTCAGTGGTGAAAAATAGAGCTTTTTCTCTAAAATCAGAAGTAAGAGTGCCCACTTTCACCATTCCTATTCACTGTAGTACTGGAAGTCCTAGCTAGAACAATTAGGCAAGAAAAAGAAATGAAAGGCATGCAAATGGAAAGGAAAAAGTAAAATCATCTCGGGTTTGCAGATAACATGATCTCATATATAGAAAACCCTAAAGACTCCACTAAAAAACTGTTAGAACTAATAAATTCAGGCAAATTGTAGGATACTATAAGAAAACTATAGGCCAATATCCCTGGCTCACATAGATGCAAAAATTCTTAACATAATATTAGCAAACTGAATTCAACAGCACATCAAAATGATCATACACCATGATGTATGATCAGCATACAAAAATCAATTACAGGGGCACCTGGGTGGCTCAGTCATTAAGCCTTCGGCTTAAGTCATGATCCCAGGATCCTGGGATCGAGCCCCACATCAAGCCCCGCATCAGGCTCCCCGCTCCACCAGAAGCCTGCTTCTCCCTCTCCCACTCCACCTGCTTGTGTTCCCTCTCTTGCTATGTCTCTGTCAAATAAATAAATGAATCTTAAAAAAAAAAAGAAAACAATCCCATTTACAATAATACCAAAAAATAAAATAAAATACTTAGGAATAAATTCAACCAAAGGAGGTAAAAGATATATACATTGAAAACTATAAGACACTGATGAAAGAAATTGAAGAAGACACAAATGAATGGAAAGATATCTCATGATGGAACCACAAAAAACCTGAATAGCCAAGGGTATCTTGAGAAAGAAGAACAAATCTGGATGCAGCATACTTCCTGTTTTCAAACTATACTACAAAACTATAGTAATGAAAACAGTGTGGTACTGTTATTAAAAAAAAAGACCCATGGAACAGAATTGAGACCCCAAAAGTAAACCCATGTGTATATGGTAAACTAATATTTGACAAGGGAGCCAAGAGTATTCAATGGGGAAAGGATGGTCCTTTCAATAAATGGTGCTGGGAAAACTGGATATCTATATTATGCAAATGAATGAAATTAGGCCCCTATCTTGCACCACTCATAAAAATTAACTCAAAATGAGTTAAAGACTTAAGTGTAAGTCTTGAAACCATAAAACTCCTAGAAGAAAACGGAGGAAAATCTTGACATAGGTCTTGGCAATGGTTTTATGAATATGACACTAAAAGCACAAGCAACACAAGCCAAAATTAATAAGTGGGACTACATCAAACTTAAAAGCCTCTGCACAACATAGGACACCATCAACAAAATGGAGAAGCAACCTGTGGAATGGAAGAAAATTTTTGCAAACCATATATCAGATAAGGGATTAATATCCAAAATATATAAAGAACTCATGTAACTGGGTGTGCCTGGGTAGCTCAGTCAGTTAAGCATCTGCCTTCAGCTCAGGACATGATCCTGGGGTCCTGGAATCGAGCCCCATGTGGGGCTTCCTGCTCAGCAGGGAGTCTGCCTCTCCCTCTGATCCTCCCTGCCCTGCTTGTTCACTCTCTCTCTCTCTCAAATAAATAAAATCTTTAAAAAAAAGTTCATGTAGCTCAGTAAATATATATATATATATATATATATATATATATATATATATATATATATAAAATGAAAACATGGGCAGAGGAACTGAATAGACATTTTTCTAAGGAAGACATCCAGATGCCAACAGGTACATGAAAAGATGCTCAACATCACTCATCATTAGGGAAATGCAAATCACAATGAAGTATCACCTCACACCTGTTGGGATGGCTGTTATCAAAAAGACAAGAGATAGCAAGCATTGGCACAGATGTGGAAAAAAGGGAATCCTTGTGCACTGTTGATGGGACTATAAATTGGTGCAGCCACTATGGAGAAAGAATACAGAGGTTCCCCCAAAAATTAAAAATAGAACTACCATGTGATCCAACAAGTCCTCCTTCTGAGTATGGATCCAAAACAAATGAAATCATTATCTCAAACAGATAATCTGCACCAAAACGTTCATTGCAGCATTGTTCACAATAATGAAGACATGAAAAAAGCTAAATGGATGAATGGCCATAGAACATGTGATAGACAGACAGATATTGGTCAAAGAGTACTAACTTCAGTCCTGAGACAAATAATTTCTGGGGATCTAATATATAGCATGGTGACTATAGTTAACAATACTGTATTATGGGGATGCCTGGGTGGCTCAGATGGTTGGGCATCTGCCTTCGGCTCAGGTCATGATCTCAGTGTCCTGGGATCGAGTCCCCATCAGGCTCCCTGCTCAGTGGGGAAACTGCTTCCCCCTCTTCTTCTCCCTCTGCTGCTCCCCCTGCTTATGCTCTCTCTCTCTGACAAATAAATAAATAAAATATTTTTTAAAATTATTAAAAAACCCAAGAAACAAAAAAAAATACTGTATTATGTACTTGAAAGTTGTGGAGAGTAAACTTTAAATGTTTTCACTATAAAAACAAGACTAGAAGTTATGTGAGGTGACAAATGTGCTGCTAACCCTATTGTGGTAATCATTTCACAATATCACATCATGACATTGTACACCTAAAATGTATACAATGTTATAGATCAATTGTATCTCAAAGTTGGGGAAATATATGATAGTAGTTATACTTTAAGTATTGGTTGATTAATAAAAGATAATGTGGCATATTTTAGTCATCACAATAGCATCTATATTCCTTTTAGAATAGTGTGTGCATATATGTGAGAGACAGAGACATATTACTTATTTGTTCTTCAGACTGTTGATACCATATGAATTTTCAGATATTCTAAATTAAATTTGCACCTTTCAGGGGTTTATGGCCTACATATTGGAAAGTCCAGCTCTGACAGTCTACTCTTTATTTGAACTCCTATAGACCATCTCATTGTTGAATAAATCTTATTCTTTTTGTCTTTATAATATTACCTGGCTAGAAAGTTGAATTTTATAAGGAGGTCTTTTCCAATAAAAATTATACATTTATGCCAACCAAACTCTGAAAATCCTACCTGTAGGTGTATGTATATCTATCCCTTGCAGGGATGCCTGAAATATTCATTGTATATAAACTAAATCATCTTATAAATGCCATAGATAAACATGGTATTTAAAAGAGTATGGTAAATTGACAGACCCCTTTAGTAACAGAAATAAGAACGTCTTAATTAATCTTTTCTGTAAACATGGGTTTTTGTATATTGGTTATGCTTTAAATGAAACACACATATACGTATAGTGGTGTGTTTATGTCTCTACCTTCTTTGGGGCTTATAAGATTTTTGTTGCCAGCCATATACACTGGCAAGTGGCACATTCCCATTAGAGTCTGAGATCTAGGGAGAAGCAGTGTGCCTGAGCCTAGGGGGGTTTCATCAGTTTTTAGTGGGCCACTCTTTATTCTCTGTTACTCTAGCCCAATTACATGTCCATCATTTAGATTGTGTGGGTAGGTTTTGGACTGAAATTTTGTTGTCTTTTGGCACATAAAGTAGTGTAAGCATACTTGTTTTATTGTCCTGTGCTGTATCATGCTTTACAGATACTATGTTTTTTACAAATTGAAAGTCTGTGGCAACCCTGTCAGGCAAGTCCTTTGGCGCCTTTTTTCCAACAGCATTTTCTCACCTCATGTCTCTGTGTCACATTTTGGTAATTCTCTCAATATTTTGAACTTTTTCATTATCATATTTGAAATGCTGCAGTCTTATGACAAAACTTGAACAGATGAGGAGTTGCTTCTTATGGACAAGCAAAGAAAGTGGTTTCTTGAGATGGAATCTACTCCTGGTGAAGTGAAGACTGTTGAAATAACAACAAAGGATTCTAAAGAATGTTACATAGACTTACTTGACAAAGCAACAGCAGGGTTTGAGAGGAACGACTTCAATTTTGAAAGAAGCTCTACTGTGGGTGAAATGCTATCAAACAGCATCACATGCTACAGAGAGATTGTTCGTGAAAGAAAGAGTCAATTGATGTGGCAAACTTTAGTGTTGTCTTATTTTAAGAAACTGCTGCAGCCATCCCAGCCTTCAGCAACCACCACCCTGATCAGTCAACAGCCGTCAGCATCAAGGTGGGACCCCCCACCAGCAAAAAAATTATGACTTACTGAAAGCTCGGGTGATGATTAGCATTTTTTAGCAGTAAGGCACTTTTTAATTAAGGTATGTACATTTTTTTTAGATATAATGCTATTGCACATGTAATAGACTACAGTATAGCATAAACATAACTTTTATGTGTTCTGGGAATCCAAAAAATTTATTTAACTCACTTTTTTTGCGATATCTGCTTTACTGTAGTGTCTGGAACTGAACCGGCAGTATCTCAGAGGCATGCCTATACCAATATAAACAAGCCAGACCAGGTTAAGTTATGATAAACATCAACCCAGCACCTTTTTTCTTTTTTTAGGCCTGTATGCTTGTTTTCCAACCCGATCTCGGTATCACACTCTCTGACCTAGCCGAGAACAGTGAAGTGATTATTTGTCTCGATTGCTCCAATTCCATGGAGGGTGCAACATTCTTGCAAGCCAAGCAAATTGCCTTATATGCACTGTCCTTGATGGGTAGGAAGCAAAAGATCAACATTGTCAAGTTTGGCACAGGTGAGCGCTCTTCGGCCCCAGTCCAAAGTGTGCTTCCTCCTTCATATTAGTGTAGAGCTGATGGCTATTCGTACCCTGACCTCATCTATGGAGTAAGAGGTAGCATAGCATGGAGTTCAAGAACCAGAACACTCGAGCTAGGTCCCTAGACCCAGATTCCAGCTCTACCACTTACTAGCTCTAGATGTCACCTTGGGCAAATTACTTGAACTTTTCCTCATCTGTAATATAAGAGTGAGAGTTCCTACCTCGTAGCCTCATAGTGTTGTTGTAAGGACTGAGCTGATGCATGTAAAGGATTTAAAACAGTGCCTATTATAGAGCAAGTGCTGTATAAATATTACTAGGTTACCAGCAGCTGAACCAAATGCAAGACCCTTGGTTTAACATGTATGAGGGTCCCAAGGATATGGACAGAACACCTGAAATCAGCACAGTAGTAAAAAATCTATAAGGTTTCAGGAAGCATCAGATCAGCCCTTTTAGAGGAAAAGTAATACCATCCTCCAGATGAGGGCCCGGGGACATCTCAGCCACCAGAAGAAGGTACTTTAGGAATGAGAGAAGGAACAGAGTAGAGTGAGGGGACAGTCGTGTCCTATTGATTCTTCTGTGCCATTCAGCAGAAGACTGAGCCCTTTTACGAAGGAGCTAGGGTGTGCTGCTGTTGGAGGCAAAGGTCAAGGAAGGCTGGGGTACCAAGCGCCTGGAAAGAGAATGTGTCCCTCCGGTGGCCAGGTGGTCTGTGCTATTGTGACACCCCGCATCTTACTTTGCATGAGCGATCCACTACAGAACAAATGTCTACACATGTAATTTTACTCAGAACATTTTACACAGTAAAGTGCATAGTTTCAATGCACTAATTATTTAAAGGAATACTGTGGTGAAGTTTTGTGGGTTTTTTTACATGTTAAACTATCAAACATGGTAACATGATTGTTAGTGGTCAATAAAGTGAATATTTAATAGCTGTACCTCACGCCAATCTTATCACACAGGTTACAAGGAATTATTTTCATATCCTAAGTACATCACAAGCAATAATACACCAACAGAGTTCATTAAGGTGAGTAAAAGAACCTTCTTTCATCTCTTGGGTCTTTTCCTATCAAGTTTTAATGGTATTGTCTGGACTTATTCTCCCCAAGACCACTAATAGATCACCCCTAGTCCTTCAGTTTTTGTATGTCAGTGGGACCCTTTTATTATTATTATTATTAATAAAAGCGATATCAACTCATTAAAGAAAAATTAGAAATTAAGAAGGGTAGAAAGAAAAAAAATCACCCATAGTTCTACCACTTAAATACAACCAAATACAACAGTCTTGGAATGTTTTCTTCTGTTTCTTTTTTTTCTTTTTCTTAAAATGGCCCACGCTGAGAATGACTAGTTGCCATCTCATTCCAGCCCAGCAAACCCAGGAAAACCATAAAAAAATCAAATAGGTGTTAGCCGATAATATTATAGTTACTGTGTGATGTGAAAAAACTAACAGTATATAAGCATAGTTGTTCCACAAATGTGTAATTAAAAAAAAATCTTTTCAGTGATGATATCTCTAAACCATCATTGAGACATGCTTCAGTAAATGATTACAGTTAATGGTGACTCTACCCAAAAGGAATGAATAACCTTTCACTTCATTTCCTCCAGTCTGCTACACCTACCATGGGAAATACAGACTTCTGGAAAACGCTCCGATATTTAAATCTACTGTACCCTTCTCAAGGCTTACGGAGCATTCTCCTTATATCTGATGGGCACCTCCAGAATGAGAGTCTGACATTGCAGCTTGTGAAAAGAAACGTCCGGCACACCAGGCTGTTCTCCTGTGGTATCGGGTAAGTGCAGGAGATCTAGTCACATAGTGAACACCATGGGGGAAAAAGGCAGCCTGTGGGTAGGTCGTCTTTGTTGGCCTGCACAGGATTTTTAGAAGTTTTAAAGTTGATAATAGTCTATGGAAGCAGTTTAGCATAGAGTTACAGAGCTCTGAGCAAGTTGTTTAACCTCTTGTCTGTAAAATGAAGATGATAATGAAAATGTCATAGGATTAATAGGTTTGCTCTGAGGATTAAATGAGCTCATATATAAAAAGTACTTAAGTCCCAGCCCTGCAGTGGGGTGAGGGAAATGTGTAAGGAAGACCACACCCGGCACCGCTAGAATAAAAAATACTTAACACTTGGCAAGCACCAAATCAACGTTAGATTTTTTTTTTTTTTTTTTTTTGCTTAAAAATCCAAACTTCCAACCTATCCTAAGAAGCCTGAAGATCTGGCAATGCCAGGCACACTCCCTCCCCTGGCAGTTCCTGACCAGGGCTAAGGGCCACTGCTTTGGGTGGGCCCCACCCAGGCTCCTAGCTCCTTCACATCTTTCTGGTGGCTGGGCACATTTGCATTTTCAAACCCTGTGATGGACATAGGATCTTTCTCTTGGGAGGCTAGGCCCCCATGATTGTTGGAATGAACACCCTCCCCAATTATAGTTAGCTTCTTTGGATTGAACTGAGGCATATGGTATAAACATAAGGAAAACACCAAACAGAAGGGGCCAGACTGTGTTTGCACAGAGCATGCCTGCACCCTCGTCTCCCTGGACTCTCCCCTAAATAGTTACCATCCTGGCAAATGATAACCAGGCCTCCTTATTCTGAGGCAGTGCATGGAGCAGGGCAGCCCCTCAACATGGGGGTAGGGTTAGAGGTGGGAGTGGTAGCTATTGGTGTTCTCTGGGGCCACTGTGCTCTCCTGGGCTAGGGGTTCTTTTCAGGCCTCAGCTATGAGCTACAGGAGCTGGGACCCTCCACACCCCCTGAGGGCCCTCCCTGCTATACCCAAACCGGCCTGCCTGCCCAGAGGGCTCTTTCCCTCTCTCTGCCCCTCCTCAGTCATAGCTCCTAGTCTTCTTCTCCTAACAGGACACCACAGACCAACCAGGAAATTTATCCAGCCCATAATGGACTCCCCCAGGAATTGCTTCTAAATGGGCTTTACCTAATTAACTTGTGGACATGGGGTGGCTGGCCCTACCCTGCTGCAGGGATGTGGCCCCCTCTCTGCCTGAGTCAGTGCCCTGTTCTATCTTCCTGGTCACAGCAACACCCCCCTGCTTCCCTGACCAAGTATCAGAGGCTGTGCCAGGGTTAGGGATTGACCTCAGTGCAGAAGATCCTGGGCCCTGTTGATTCCTTCTTTGCTGAGAGCCTGTCATGAAACAGACACTCCTTGGTGCTGGACCACAGTGCTGTGTTTAGGGAGACAGGCCGCAAGCAATCCAATAAGCTGAAAGGGGAGATGGGTTTTACTAAGTGCCAGAAAGGAAATAAGAGGGGTACTGTGATGGGGGTGAGTGGACATGAACCTCCTTTGGGAGATGACTTTGTGCTTTGACACGACCCAGCCTGAAGGAGCTGAAATTTTTATTGGTTTTCTGTCAGGTTTTAGGATCTTTCTAAATGTTTCTGCCTCATTTTATACATGCTCATTTGTGTTCACAAACTCTAGCAATATGTGAGTTCTCCAGGAGTAGAGCCTGTTCGTCCTGCCTGTTGTCACAAACTCTCCTCTGAGCTACACACAGCAGGAGCAAGAATAGATTACAAGCAGCCTCAGTAGCCAATGAAATAGATAAAATACAAATAAACTCCAGTTTAGGGGGATTATCTAATTGTTGTAATCACCACCAATTTATTGTGAAGACTAAAGACAAATCCAATCTTTAATCAGTAGGCTAAGAAATATTTCAGAAATAACTTTCTTAAGCTCTTTTCCTGAAAAAATAATTGTGTCTTTACTATTTCAGGAGGATCCTGTCTAAGAAAGGCTTTCTTAATAGTTTTAGAATTATTGAGAGAAATTTAATAGGACCTTGTCATTTAAGTAGCAAAGCTTATCTTTGCTAGAAAGAGACTTCTTTATCCCCTTTGCTATCTGGATGCACATATTTTAAGACTTTATTAACTCTGCCAGTTCTTGGCCTTTGGGATCAAATTTGGGTAACTGACACTCATTGAAAGTAGGTTGATATTTTTCAGTATTCTGGTAACTTTTTGGAGGTTTTTCAGAATCATCTCCCTCCTTTGGTAAGCCAGGAGTCAAGAATTTCTGCTCTTTTTTTTCTATTGTGAAAAAGAAATGAGTTCTCTGATATGTGGGAGCTTAAATTACCCAAACCTTCAGATGTTTTATACTGCCCGTCCTGAGTTTTATCTCTTTAACCTCAACTACGGAGAGTTCTGCATGTACTGTCTCTTCTATTGAGTTTCGAGCTATGTCAACATTGTTAACTACATGAAATTCAAAAATGTTTCTAAAATTTCTTGAAAATTAAAACATGTAAAATGTGATCAGTTCTACAGCAAATCGTCATATCTTAAGGACTTTGTCCCAATACGGTGCTGGAGTATTTGAGTATTTTAACTCAAAATCCAAACATAGTTGGAAAAAACAGGTACGTTTTTCAAACATCTTATTTCTAGTTTTATGCTTACATGTGGAAATATTATCTTCTTGCACATCTAGTGCCAGTAACTTCTGTGTTTTCATTAGTGGAAAGGGGACCTAGGAAAATCAGACAAAGGTACCGAAAGCATAGTTACTTAGTTACTATCTGTCTCGCACCTAGCAGGAACACATTCTCCTAATTGGGTCATTCTCCTAGCTAATAGTTTGATTTCTTCTTTATAAAGTGTCATGGAGGGGTTTTTTAAAAGTGAAGTACTATACATGTTTTGCTAGAGTTAATATGCTATTGTGGCAAAATATACATAAAATTTACCATTTTAACTATTCGTAAGTGACATTCAGTGGCATTAAGGCACATTAGGGGAGGCTGGGTGGCTCAGTCAGTTGGGCATCTGCCTTTGGCTCAGGTCATGATCCCAGGGTCCTGGGATCGAGCCCTGCATCAGGCTCCCTGCGTGGCGGGGAGTCTGCTTCTCCCTCTCCCTCTGCCCCTACCTCCCACTCGTGCTCTCTCACTCATAAATGAATAAAATCTTAAAAAATAATAATATTTAAAGGTACATTCACAATGTTGTGCAGCCATCACCACCATCCATCTCCAGAACTTTGCATCATCCCAAACAGAAACTCTACTCATTAAACAACAACTCCCCATTCCACCCTCTCCCCAGTCCCTGGCAACTACCATTCTATTTTCTGTCTCTATGAATTTGACTACTTTAGATACTTTATGAAAGCAGAATCATACAATATGTGTCCTTTTGTGCCTGTCTTGTTTCATTTGGTATAATGTTTTCAAGGTCTATCCATGTTGTGGCATGTGTCAGAATTTTCTTTTTTAAAGGCTGAATAATACTTCATTGTATTCACATACCACATTTTGTTTATCCATTCATTTGTTGATAGATATTTGGGTCGTTTCTACCTTTTAGTGGTTGTGAATTATGCTGCTATGAGTATTGGCATATAAGCAGGTATTCAGGTCTGATTTCAGTTATTTTATGTATATAACAGAAGTGGAATTTCTGGATCATATGGTAATTCTGTGTTTAGTTTTTTTAGGAACTGTTATACTGTTGTTCACAGTGGCTGCACCATTTTACATTCCCATGAGCAATGTACCTAGGGTTCCAATTTTTCTACATAATTGATAGCACTTGTTTTCTGGTTTGGGTTTTTGTTTTATAATAACCATCATAGGGTGTGAAGTTGTATCCCGTTGGGGTTCTGATTTGCATTTCCCTAATGACTAGTAATGTTGAATATCTTTTCATGTGTTCATTGGCCATTTGTATATCTTCTTTGGAGAAATGTCTGTTCAAGTCCTTTGTAGGATTAATTTTTATAACTAGAATCTACTCCCTGTCAAAGTTGTATATTAGTAATTAACTAATGGAATGATTTGGGGATGTCTTATATATTAAATTATGTGCCAATGCTATTATTAAGAATTCTATTTAAAATCTTTTTGAAAAAGTACCCTGAGCAGGAAGGATTTACAAAAACAAAAGCAAAGAGCTACAAATCCCAAAAGATAGAATGTAAAATTATTTTAAGTGTTAAGTAACTATTTTCTGGATGTAACATTGAAAAAGAAATAATTCATCTCTTATAAATAGATAGAAGACCAAATGACTAGGTTACATTCTCCAAGTTGCCACTCTGTCTCCGTCAAATGGCAGCAACTAAGTACAGATGCACCTGAGCCTCTGCAGGCTCCAGCCCAGGTGCAGTCCTTGTTCCACAATGAGCGACTCCTTGTCTATGGATTTATTCCTCATTGTACACAGGTAAGGAAGCACACAGCTTGTTTTACTATGGGAACAGTTTTCTTTTTCTTTTCTTTCTCTTTTCTTCCCTCTCCCCCCTCAAATCATAATATGCTGGCAAATTTTCTCCTTCTGGAAACCTAATGGTTAGTTAACTAGGGATACTGGGGAGCCTTTTAATTTCCATTAAAAGGAAAGAGAAAATCACGGTGAAACTAAGACACTATGGAGTGAAAAAGCTAATAAGGGATTCCACTCCACCCCACCCCCATTTTAGGCAACTCTTTGTGCATTGATTCAAGAGAAAGAATTTTCTACAATAGTATCAACTACCGAACTTCAGAAGACAACTGGAACTGTAAGATTCAAAACTTTAACTATGAACTCACTCTTTGAAAGTTGTAATAATTTTATATTTTCATATCTAATGCTCCGTGTACTTCCTTTGTTGTTCTTGTTTTCCTGTTTTGACACTTTAGTACACAATATGATATGGAGGATTGTTATCTGTACAAATGAGGACACTTTCATTCAGTTTCTGATGCAACAGTTCTTCTTCTGGTGTTCTTGGGTCTAGGTGTATCCATATGGGCATCAGTGGATATGACTAACTGCAATTAAATTTGGTATTTTATATGTGAACATTTTTTAGGGAGGTTCTCAAAGTTGTTCATGACATGATAAAAATTAAGTACCACAGATCAACCTGTGTTATTTTGAAATATTAAGTATAACAATACTGAACTAAGAGTAAACATATACTAAGAATGTCTTTGTTGTTTCTACTTTTGGATTAAAAGCAAATTAATTATCACCAAAAAATTTGTAGTATTTACATTAGTCCTTAATCTATTAGAGTCAGACCTGGAAATCCCTAACCTATCTATACTATATATATGTAGCTTTATTCATGGGATTATTTGCATGGCCAGATAAACTATTTCCCAGACATGGCAGATTTTTTGTTTTTCTTTTTTTAATAAAATATGGCTTACTTTTTGGCCCTGAATCAATAATTATAACTTACTATTTGCCAGTGATATATGTCTAGAACTTAAGGGAATCTCCATATTGTTTTAAAAATTGAATCTAAGGGGGAAATTAGTAAGTAAAAGGATTTTAACCTGGGAAGAGGTCATTTTCCATAAAATTGCAGTTTTTATAGTTGTACTTCCTCTGTGAATTGTGGCCTTATTGATAACAAAATTACAAGAGTTGGAATTATCATTGTAAGCAGACATTACTATTAAAATCAGTTGTGTTTGTTAGTCATTGGAGAGGAAGGGGGCAGTCCTTCACCTTGCACTTCCCAGGGCTGCCCCTGCCCTTCAGAGTGGAGGTCACATTCACAGTTAGGCATCACAGCACTAAGCTGACTCTTCCCACAGTAGAAGAACAGTTTAAAATTTTTGAAATAAATTGAATTGACAAAAATGCCCTTTTATAGAAAAGGTAAAACTGTAGGCATAGAAAACAGATGAGTGGGTGCCAGGGGCTGGAGGTGACAGCAAGGGGCATGAGGAGTGCCCTTCACTTTTGAAAGTGAAGGAACTCTTCTGTATCTTTATTTCAGTGGTGGTCACACAACTGTATACATTTGTTACAACTTATCAAACTATACACTTAAAAGGGGTGAATTTTATTGTATGTACTATTATACCTCAATTTTAAAAGTGTTTTCTAAGTAAGACTTTAATTAGAAGCCATTTGAATCTTTTTTCCCCTTTGTTGCTTAAACACAGATGATCCACAAGCTGACAGCACGAGCTCTGATCCAAGATTATGAAGATGGCATTCTCCATGAAAATGAAACAGATCATGAGGTTTGCTCTTTTCATTGTTCTTCATCCTTCTTAAATTGATTTATCCGTGGAAATGTAAAGTGAGGGTAGTTGGGTGGAGAAACGTGCGGTATGGGGGCATTCATTGTTACAGCTGTACTTTCTGCGCCTGGGCTGCAGGGTGCTCAGTAAATGTCTGTTGAATGAATTAATGAAAGAACAGATGTCATGGGTTTCCTAAGAATTCTGTGATCATTTTACTCATCAGAAACAGGCCAGAGGAGGGCTCCGAGAACGTTTGCTCAGTGCCTGTCATAAATATCACCTCAGATCTCATACACTGTAGGCGTTGGTATTCTCATCTTAGTGATGAAGGAGCCCAGGTGCAGGACAGGCGGGTGACCAGCCTAAAAACACACAGTGGAGCCAAAGCCCACCCTGCACCCTGCTCTTTCTTCACTGACCTGATGAGGCCCCCGGCAGGGGGTCCCACCCAGCCAGCCCACCTCATGGCCTGGTCCCTCTGTAGCTGTGAACTTAAATGAGCTTAGGAGCAGTGGTACTCAGTGCCCTCCCAGGAAGAAGGAACCAGAGTGCCTCCCCTGGCTGTTAATGCAGTCATAGCAGGTGATAGATGGCCTTGTGTTTTCACTGTACTCCTTTGCTGCCCTTGGATTAGCAGCCTGGTGTTCTGTTTTACTTAAGGCCTTTTTTTTTTTTTTAATTTTATTTATTTATTTGAGAGAGGGAGAGAGATCACAAACTGGGGAAAGGGTAGAGGGAGAAGCAGACTCCCCGCTGAGCAGGGAGCCCAATGTGAGACTCAATCCCAGGACCCTGGGACCATGACCCAAGCTGAAGCCAAGATGCTTAACCGACTGAGCCACCCAGGTACCTTACTTAAGGTCTTTTTATCTCTGGGGGCAACTGACAAGCCCTGCCACCAAATGGTTTTGAACAAGTCACTCCACATCTCTACACCTTGGATTCTTCATCTTTAAAATGGGAGGCATGGGCTGTATGTAAAAGAATGCAGAAACTCACCACACTTGAGAGTGAGAGTTCTTTGTAACCATAAAGAGCTATATAAATATGAATTGTTTTTTTCTATGACTTAGCCAGTCACTTGATCCTATTTTTCAGAGAATGTTGAGTCACCTACTCTAGACATTTAGACAGGGCAATTGACTCAATTTAATTTGAAATACTAATTATAAAATGGTTTATTTTATAGAAAACACATTTGTTGATTATTTAATACTTGTTTTATTGGTCATACATAGCTAAACAATGAAAAATAAAATAAGACGTGACTTCATTTGTTTGATTGTATTTTAGATGAAGAAGCAAATCTTAAAATCTCTGATTATTAAACTCAGTAAAGAAAACTCTCTCATAACACAATTTACAAGCTTTGTGGCAGTTGAGAAAAGGGTATGTATTATTAATTCATGTTATTTCATTTTTATTTACATATTAAGAAAATTACTTTTGCTCTGACTGTTACTGACAATATCTACATTCATGGCTTGTGAAGAGCAGGGAGGGGAGAGGCAGGGAGGACCATCAAACCAGGGCCTCACATTCATGAAGGGCTCATTATCATCTCTCTAAGTGGGTCACATATGTTATATTTTTAATGTTATAAATTATTACTTAGTTATATGTGTATTTCTGAAATACACTATAATTTTATTGCATTTTGGTGTTTCTCATCTTTTACTAATGCAAGACCCTCAACAAATAGAAAGGGCTTGAGCTTCCCTTACCCTGTGAGAGGCCCTTTCTCTTTCATAAGTTTAAAAGGAAAACCCACAGAAGGCACTTACCACAGCTCCCACACCAGCTCAATAAAGAGGAAAGCCACTCAACTGAGCAAACTTGTGTTTTTAGACTCTCTCTCCCTCCCTTGTGGCCCAGAACAAACAATCTAATCTGACACCCATACATATTTCAAATTAAGGATTCACTAGGCTTTAGAATGTAATCATTTAATTTGATAATGTCTGTTTTGTTTTTACCTAATTATGATTCAATATAGGATGGTAAGGAGTCACCTTCTCCTAATATTCCAAATATTTTGGAACTTATTGCCAAAGAAGATGTAGATTTTCTGCCATACATGAGCTGGCAGGAGGAGCAACCAGATATCAGTGTGGCACAGGTAAATGTTAATTACCAAATAAATTAATATTGTGTTTCCATATTTGTAGGATTGTGAGGGGAACCCTTTGTTTAAAATATCACCCTTATTGCTTGTATATGGAGAAACTGTTGTCTCCCTCAGAATGGAAAATATTTGCACATTTATAAAAAAGCTGTTACATGACTGAGAAAGTCACCATACATAAATGTAGCTGTAAAGTACCAAAGGGGAACAACTGTGATTTGGCTTTATTCATAGACAAATAAACTGTCATACAAGAAACTAAAGTCACTTCCTCTAAGTAATTAATAGGTTCATCGTGAAAGTAGTGATAAAAGTCCTATCTGAGAATCTAAATTCACCACTAATAATTCTTAAAGTTTATAGTGCTTTATACTGTGGCCTTTATAGCCAGAAATAAGATTGAAAAATGTGACTCCCATAGAAATTGGAAGGCATATTCAAAACCAAAGGAACAAAACAGTGCTAATAAGACCCTTAGGTATCTGGATTAGCAGAATCAAATTGCCAAAATTTAGGAATTTAGAATCTAAGGAAAAAATTTGAAAGGAATTTTGGGAAAATATAATATATGCAACATTCATTTTCTTTGATCCATTTTGAAGTTATTGTGTCAATTAAGAATATAAAAACACATTAAATGTCATTTGTTTACTTTATTCATAAGATCATAATCTGAGATGGTAAATAACTACAAAACCAAACCATAAATGTTTCCTCAAATTCTTCATGCAGAATTTTTGTTTTGTTTTATCTTACAGTTGTCTTTAAAGCAAGGAGAAAGGGATAATAACTTTTGAAAATCCTGTTTCCACTCTTTTTCTGAGTTCACTTCTCTGGTCACATAGGTCCTACTAGAGAGAAGAGAAACAGTGGCCACCACCGAACAGATGGGCAGTGGCAGGGCTGGGGAAATGACTGTATCCCAACTAGCAGATAAAGAGGTAGGCAGCCTTTGGTGCATCTCCCCTGTTGTTGCAAGCCCCTCCTCCTTTGGCTGAAGCAAATTCCAGGGGATTTAAAGAGCTGCACCTTTATTCCCCCTGCTCATTTTTTGCTCTTCCCCTTTTGGGAGTCAGACACTGAAGATTAGGACATTCAGAAACAATTCCTATATGGTGATAATTAAAAAGTAACTGCCCATACCTGAGGAAAGGCTCAGAGAAGACTCAAGAAGACATTAAGTTTATACTTCAGGCTGATCCTTACCACAGAGACAGCCTAAAACAATTAAGGAAGAGAAAAGAATAATAAAAATACAACAAATACTGAGGAAGGGAGAGAATCTTATATCCAGATTTACCACATTTCTTAGATTCAGATATTCAGTGTTCAAGGGGAAAAATCATAAGGCATACAAAGAAACAGGAAAGTATAGCCCAAAGAAAGAAAAAAATGAAACAATGGGAACTGTCCCTGAAAAAGACAAAATGGCAGATATATTAGACAAAGATTTTAAAACAGTGATCTTAAAGGTGCTCAGAGAACTAAAGGAAGATGTGGAGAAAGTCAAGAAAATGATGAATGAATGAAATGGAAATATCAATAAAGAGACAGAAGACTTAAAAAGAAACCAAGAAGAAATTCTGGAGCTAAAAAGTACAATACCTGAAATGAAAAATTCACTAGAGGGATTCAAAGGCAGATTTAAGCAGGCAGAAGAAAGAAGCAGTGAACTTGAAGATAGGACAGTGGAAGACTTAATATTATTAAAAGTGTCAGTATTAACCAAAGCAATCTATAGATTCAATGCAATCTCTATCAAAAGCTCAGCAATGTTATTGCAGAAATAGAAAAATCCACCCTGGAATTCATATGAAATCTCAAGGTACTCCAAATAGCCAAAACAATCTTGGAAAAAGAACAACACTGGAGGACTCACACTTACTGATTTCAAAACTTGCTCCAGTGTTACAGTGATCAAAGCAGTGTGATAGTGGTGTAAAGACAGACTTTTATAGATGAATGGAATAGATTAGAGAGCCCAGAAATAAACCCTTGCCTATGTGGTCAAGTGATTTTTGACAAAGTTACCAAGACCATTCACTGGGGAAAGCACAAATGATGCTGGAAAAACTGGAGATCCACATGCAAAAGAATGATATTGGACCCTTACCTAATATCATATATAGAAATTAACTCAAAATGGATATATGGCTTCAAACAATATAACTCCTAGAAGAAATATAGGACAAATCTTCACCCATTGGATTTAACAATGATCTGGCACAAGTAACAAAAGAAAAAAACAGAGAAATTAGACTTCATGAAAATTTTAAAAATTTTGTACATCAAAAGATACTATCCACAGAATAAAAAGATAACCCACAGATAGGGAGAGAATATTTGAAAGTGATATATCTGAAAGGATTAATATCCAGAACATATAGAACTCCTAAAACTCAACAACAACAAAACAAACAACCCAGTTCAAAAATAGGGCAGGGGCACCTGGGTGGCTCAGTCAGTTTGGCATCTGACTCTTGGTTTTGGCTCAGATCACAGTCTCATGGGTTGTGAGAGCAAACCCTTTGTCAGGCTCCATGCTCAGCAGGGAGTCTGCTTGAAGATTCTTTCCCTCTGCCCCTCCCCCTTTTTGTCTCTTTCAAATGAAAAATAAATCTTTAAAAACATTTTTTAAAATAGGGCAAAGGACTTGAATAGACATTTCTACAAAGAAGATATATGAATGGTCAGTAAGCACACGAAAAGATGCTCAATAGCAATACAGGCCTTCCTCAAGAAAGAAGAAAAGTCTCAAATACACAACCTAACCTTACACCTAAACAAGCTGGGAAAAGAACAGAAAACAAAGCCTAAATCCAACAGGAGAAAGGAAATAATAATGATTAGAGCAGAAATAAATGATATAGAAATTAAAAAAAAAACGCAGATCAGTGAAAGTAGGAGCTGGTTCTTTGAAAGAATTAACAACATTGATAAACCCCTAGCCAGATTTATCAAAAAGAAAAGAGAAAGTACCCAAATAAATAAAATCATGAATGAAAGAGGACACATCACAACCAACACCAAAGAAATACAATTACAAGAGAATATTATGAGCAATTATATGCCACAAATTAGGCAATCTGGAAGAAATGGATAAATTCCCAGAAACATATAAACTACCAAATCTGAAACAGGAAGAAATAGAAAATCTGAACAGACCCAAAACCAGCAAAGAAATTGAATCAGTAATCAAAAATCTCCCAAACAAACAAGGGTCCAGGGCCAGATGGCTTCCCAGGGGAATTCTACCAAACATTTTTTTTTTTTTTAAGATTTTACTTATTTATTTGAGAGAGACAGAAAGAGGGAGAGAGCGACATAGTACCAGAAGTCCTAGCCTCAGCAATTAGACAACAAAAAGAAATAAAAGGCATCCCAATCAGCAAGGAAGAAGTCAAACTTTCACTTTTCTCAGACAACATGAAACTCTATGTAGAAAACCAGAAAGACTCTACCAAAAAATTACTAGAACTGATACAGGAATTCAGCAAAGTTGCAGGATATAAAATCAACACACAGAAGTCTGTTGCATTTCTGTACACCAATAATGAAGTAGCAGAAAGAGAAATCAAGGATTCAATTCCATTTACAAATTGTACCAAAAACCATAAGACACCTGTGAAAAACCGAACCAAAGAAGTAAAAGATCTGTACTCTGAAAACTAACAAATACTAATGAAATAAATTGAAGAAAACCCAAAGAAATGGAAAAAGCATTCCATGCTCATGGATTGGAAGAGATGTCTCCAGAGGCAAGGGAAACAAAAGCAAAAATGAACTATTGGGACTTCATCAAGATAAAAACTTCTGCACAGTGAAGGAAATACTCAACAAAACCAAAGACAACCAATAGAATGGGAGAATATATTTGCAAATGTCTTATCAGATAAAGGGCTAGTATCCAAAATCTATAAAGAACTTATCAAACTCAACACCCAAAAAACAAATAATCCAATCAAGAAATGGGCAGAATACATGAACAGACATTTCTCCAAAAAAGACATACAAATGGCCAACAGACACATGAAAAAATGCTCAACATCACTCATCATCAGGGAAATACAAATCAAAACCACAATGAGATACCACCTCACACCAGTCAGAATGGCTGAAATTAACAACTCAGGAAACAACAGATGTTGGCAAGGATGCAGAGAAAAGGAAACTCTTACATTGTTGGTGGGAATGCAAACTGTGCAGCCACTCTGGAAAACAGTATGAAGGCTCCTCAAGAAGTTAAAATAAATTACCCTATGACCAGCAATTACACTATTAGGTATTTACCCAAAGGATACAAACATAGTGATTGGAAGGGGCATCTGCACTACAGTGTTTATAGCAGCAATGTCCACAATAGCCAAACTCTGGAAAGACCCCAGATGTCCATTGACAGATGAATGGATCAAGAAGATGTGGTGTGTACACACACACACACACACACACACACACACACACACACACACTGGAATATTACTCAACCATCAAAAAGAATGAAATCTTGCCATTTGCAATGATGTGTATAAAACCAAAGGGTATTATGCTAAGTGAAGTCAGAGAAAGACAAATACCATATTCTATTTCACTCATATGTGGAATTTAAGAAACAAAACAGATGAACATAGGGGATGGGAAGGAAAAATAAAGAAAAATAGAGGTAGGCAAGCTGTAAGAGATGCTGAACTCTTGGAAACAAACTGAGGGTTGCTGGAGGGAAGGTGGGTAGGAGATAGGGATAACTGGGTGATGGGCATTAAGGAGAGCACTTGATGTGATGAACACTGGGAGTTATATGCAAATGATGAATCACTAAATTCTACCTGAAACTAATAATACAGTATTGTTAACTAAATTGAATTTAAATTAAAAATTAAAAAAAAGAATTCTGCATCAAATTTAGCTGTAAGCCTTACCAATAGTTACAGAAACATTTAGCACTATGACATGCTATTTTTTTAGCTATTTTAATAGTCTTCTATTTTCACTTTTGATAATTAAGCCTCTAAAATTGCAATTGAACCAGCTTTAAACCATCATTATACCATTATTTTTTTATTATAGGAATGAAATTATTGAGACATATTGCATTAATGGTTATAATATAATTATAATATAATTAAACAGATGCACTTTAAAAAAAAAAGCATGCTGAACTTACCACTTCTGTTCAACATTGCATAGAAGACTGTAGCTGGTACCTAAAGCAGCAAAAAAAATATATATACACACACACACACACACACACACATATATATACACATGTATATATATATACATATATGTATATATATAAAGCATACATATTGGAAAGGAAGAAGTAGAGCTGTCTTTACTCATAAGCAACCTAATTGTTTCTGTAGAAAATCTTAAAGATTCTATAGAAAGACTAGTAGAACTAATAAGTGCATTTGACAAGGTTATAGGATGCAAGTCAATATTAGAAACCAACTGGATTTCTGTATACTGGCAACAATCAAAAATTGGAATTTAAAAATCAATACCACTTATAATATCATAGAAAATACGAAATACATAGAACCAAATTTGGCAAAATAAGCAGGACCTGTACACTGAAAATTATAAAACATTGCTGAGAAAATTGCGATTGAAGAAGACCTAAATAAATGTTCTTGGATTAAATGACTCTGTATTGTTAAAACACTGATTCTCCTCAGATTAATCTATAGATTCAGTTCAGTCCAACTCAAAGTCCCAGCAAGTGTTTTGTTTAGAAATTGACACACTGATTCTAAATTGTATATGTAAATGTAAAGGATCTTGGTTAACCAAAACAACTTTGAAAAAGAAGAAAACGTTGGAGGCCTTACACTATCTGATTTCAAGACTTATTATAAGGCTACAGTAATTAGGAGAGTGTGATATTAGTGTAAAATAGACATCTGCACCACGGGAACACCACTGAAACATATAACAGTTGGAACAGAGTAGAGATTCTAGAAATATATCCACATATATAGGGTCAGTTGGTTTCCTACAAAGGTGTCAAGGCAATTCAGTGGGGAAAGGATGATCTTTTTCAACACATGGTTCTGGAACAATTGGATGGCCATATACCAAACAAACAAAATGAACCTCTATCCTTAGCTCACACCATGTGCAAAGATTGATTGGAATATAGACCTTGAATGTAACAACTGAAGCTAGAATATCTGGAAGAAAATATAGGAGAAAATATTAATGACTTTGGGTTGGACAGAGGTTTCTTAATTTAAAAAAACTAAAAAATTGGTGAATTAGACTTCATTAATATCAAAAACTTTTGCTCTTCAGAAGACACCACTAAGCAAATGAATGGGCCAACCACATTTGTGAGAAAATATTTGTAAAACATATCTGACAAAGACATCTAAAATATATAAAGCAATCTTACAATTCAATAATAAGGTAACCCAATAAAATAATGAACAGATTTCAACAGACACTTTACCAAAGAAGATATACAGATGGCAAGCAAGCATATGAAAAGATGCTCAACCTCATCAGTCATATAAGAATATGCAAATTGGAGCCACAATGAGATACCTTTCCATACCCACTGGAATGGCCTAAAAGGGGATGACAGTACTAGATGTGGCGAGGATGTGGAACACTAACTCCCATGCACTGCTGGTAGAAGTATAAAATGGCACAACCATTTTAGAAACTCTTTGACAGTTTCTTAAAAAATAAAACCTACACCGACCATTTGACGCAGCCAGATGAAATGAAGGTGTGTGTTAAAAGATTTCTACATGAGTACTCATTGTGGCTTTATTTATAGTAGCCAGAAGTTGGAAACAACCATCAGGAGATGAATGAATAAACAAACTGTGATATTACCATATGATGGAATACTACTCAGCAATAAAAAGGAATTAACTGTTGATACATGCAACTACATGGATGAATGTCAAGACAGTTATGCTGAGTAAAAGAAGTCAAACAAAGAAGAATAGATATTGTATGATTCCTTTGATACAAAATACATGTAAACCAATCTGAAGTTATTGTAAGCAAATAGTGGTTGCCTGGCAACAGCGAGGGGAGGAATGAGATGGATTACAAAAGGGCACAGGAATATCTTGGGAGTGATGGTTATGTTCATTCTCTTCATCAGAACTCACCAAATTATACCTTTTTTTTTTTTTTAAGTAAACTCTACCCCCAATGTGGGGCTCCAACTCACGACCCTGAGATTGGGAGTCACATGCTGTACTGACTGAGCCAGCCAGGTGCCCCTAAAATTATGTACTTTAGATATGCAGTTTATTGTACATCAATTATACCTAAGTAAATCTATTCTGAAAATTTTAATTAGCTCTAACCAAATTGCCCTCTGTGTAGGTTGCCAATTCACACTCCTATCAGTAGCATGCAAGAGGCTTTTACCCTGTCCCTCTTTAACCCAGTGTATCATTCAAATGTTTGAACTTTGCAATCAGACAGGTGAGAAATGTATTAGTGATATTTTAATTTTCATTTCTTTCTGAAGGAAGATGAGTTTGTTTTCATATTCTTAAGAGCTCTAGGTATCTTCTTCTCTATGGGTTATCTATTAATGTTTTTTTACCTTTGTTATTGTGATGTTAGTCTTTTTTTTTTTTTAAAGATTTCATTTATTAGAGAGAGAGAGCACAAGCAGGGAGAGCAAGTGGCCGGCAGAGGGACAGGGAGAAGCAGGCTTCCCCGCAGAGCAGGGAGCCCGATGCGGGGCTCCATCCCAGGACCCTGGGATCATGACCTGAGACAAAGGCAGACGCTTAACCAACTGAGTCTCCCAGGTGCCCCTAGTCATTTTCTTATTTATTTCAGGAAATATAGCTATTAGGGAAATTAGCCATTTGTAATTTGAGTTGCACAGATTTGTGTCCCAGTTTGCCATTTGTATTTTGATGTCATTCATCATCTTTTTGTCATGCAGATTTAATGCAGTCAAATTTTTTGATCTTTGTGTTTCTTGTTTTTGTTTCATATTGTTTTGTTTTGTTATCATGCTTAGAAATACCTTTCCTATTCAGAGACTATGCTTCCTAAAAGTTTCCTCTTACTTATTTTTTAAAATTGTTTCATGGCCTCTTGTTTACATTTAATTTTTCATCCAGTTGGAATCTATCCTGGTATAAGATGAGAAGTATGTAACTAACTTTATTCCTTTCCAGATAGCTACCCACTTTCCCCAACACTGTTTATTGGATAATTCTGTTTCCTCCCATTGACTTAAAATGTCATCTTTATCATCTACTAAATTCCCATGTGTTTTAGGATCTATTGCTGGACCCTCTCTTCTGTTCCATTGATGTGTCTAATTATTGTAATTTTATAAAATGCTTTAATATCTAATAGGTCTAGTCTATCACTATTGCTTTTTTTCAGTTTGCTTATCTAATGAAAAGAAATTTAACCAGAAAAACATTGTTTTTAAGTATTATTTTCAAATACATGTCTTGTCATACGTTCTGCAGTATAATTATTTAAATGTATACTGGAAATGACTGAGTTGGGGAAGGACTACTCTTTTTTTTTTTTTAAATAGCTGATTTAAGGGGCACCTGGGTGGCTCAGTCGTTAAGCATCTGCCTTGGCTCAGGTCATCATCCCAGGGTCCTGGGATCGAGCCCCGCATTGGGCTCCCTGCTCCGCGGGAAGCCTGCTTCTCCCTCTCTCACTCCCCCTGCTTGTGTTCCCTCTCTCACTGTCTGTCTCTGTCAAATAAATAAATAAAATCTTTAAAAAAAAAAAACAGCTGATTTTTAAAAAAAAAATAAAATAGCTGATTTACATTGGTAAAATTATAGGCTAATTATTTTTTTTAAAGATTTTACTTTTAAGTCATCTATACTCCCAATGTGGGGCTCAGATTTACAACTCCGAGATCAAGAGTCACATACTCTATCCACTAGGCCAGCCAGGTGCTGCCAGGCTAATTATTTCCAAAATATCTCAAAGACTTGTAATTCATATAAAACTGGATTTTATTTACTTGCAACTTTTTAAGAAAGACTTTACATTCAAATAATAATAGTAACATAGCATCCTTAATTCCCTTTTGTTTTACATATTGTTCAAAATCTGGTGTAAAGATATATTCATGTAGTTACTTTAAAGCTTTTGAAATTTTTTGTCAGTCATCTCATTTCCTTAATATTGCTGTAAAGCAGAATAAAAGACTAGAATAATTTATTCAAATTATCAGCTTATTTTAGGGCTAATTTACACACTATGATACTGCTAATTATAAAATTTTGGACAAGACACTTATATGGTCCTGAGTTTCCTCTTGTATAAAATGAGGGGTATTCAAAGTTTCAACATGCTAAGAACAAAGAGAAACTAAGATCTTTGATGTATTTATTATTGCTATTCTCTCCAAATCTCAGATTTGTATCTATATAACAAGGGCATTGCATTTAAATTATCTTGAATCTCTCCTCTTTTCAATGCTCTAGAAAAAATAATTGCTTGTCTACCCAGAAGTCAATTCTAGGAAGTATGTTTGGTTGTTTGTTTTATTTTGTGTTTTCCCTTACATTATATTTTTCCCTCTTGGACAGCCTTTTTCAGCATTCTTTGAATGGAATGAAGAACTGCAACAACCACATTTGACTAACAGAAAGTTTAGATCATCTCAGCTGGAAGATTCTGAAGATTTTGAAGATAGTTCCCAACTATCAGAAAAACCTTTCACACTCAGCTTTGAATGTGGAGATGGGGAAACGCCATTGGGTTTAAGTCAGATGGATTCATTTAAACGACCACTATGTAGAGATGCCCCTTTCCCAAAACTGGTTGGTTGTTGCAGCATTTCTGCTGCTTGTGGTTCAGCCAGTTTGGAAGATGAGCCCTTTGATGGTTCTGGTTTCCTCCATCCTCCCCGCTCATGTTCTAAGAAGGTTGCTAGGAGTCTCCAACAGTTTGGTCCATCTAAGAATGACCAAGACCTTCAAGCTGACTATTTGGGTGACATTACCCCTGTGTCATGTACCCCTTTCAGACTGCCTCCCCCATGTCTTGGTTCCTTTGCTTTTTCTGCTCTTACAAGCACCTCATTTAACTCCAGAGAGGTTAATCTACCTGAAACTTATCAAGACCATAAGACTGACAATTCTGCTAGCATTTTCCCTAAATTGGACTCTCCCATGCAGCCAAATATTCTTCTGCCTCCTCATAGAGTTAGTTCTGCTGGTCCATCCAGAGGGTTTGACGTTCATTCCCTTTCTTGTTCTCCTCTTTATTTTCAAAATTCTCCAGTTCATTTCAGAGCCAGTTACAAGCCACCAATAGATCTGTTTGCTAACACTGAATTGGAGGGTTCTTTCCGTACAGATCTCTCTGCCGAAATTTCATTATCTGCTTCAAGTAACGGAAGATTTTCTGAAACAGAAAATAATGAAACACCAAAATTTCTGGGAAGTCGTTTTTTTAAAAGAAAAAAAGTGGCAAAATCTGATATAACAGGAAGTGACTTTACTGAAAGCTTTCAGGCACAAAAAGATGAACAGAGCTGGATGAATTTTGTGCCTTGGACTGAACTCTTCAGGCTACAAACTGAGGTATTAGTCTTATTTATCCTTAAGTCTATGGTTAATTAGCTTCAGAGTTCAGAACGGAGCTATTCAAAGTAGCTGGTCTTTGAAATGTTTACCAGGGCACTACTGAGGTAAGTGACTGGTGGAAGAATGTAAATCAACACGCTGCTTCCTTCATTGAGAAAATCTTGCTTAAAAAAAGTCATTGAACAATACAGTGTGCTTGATGGCGGTATTTATCTATTTTTAATTGTTAGTCCAGAATATCATGCAAGTGAATGTTAATATTCCTCAGTTGAAAATTAGCATCCCTGAATGGGTTATGGGGTAACACCTTGATTTCCTAGCTTCTAGAACAGATAGATGAATTGCAATCATGTAAACTTCCCATTGTGAAATAAAGAACAAGTATAAGTATATTCTGATTGTTTTCACATATGGTCTTGGGAATATTACTCAACATGTAAGACTGTGTTAAAGATTATCATTCCATTTGTGTAGCTAATAAACATTCAATAAATATAATTCCTGCACTGGTACTAAGACCCAGTCTCACACGTGTAATTATGTGTTTTGATGTAAAGTAGTTTAGTGAAGTGGAAAAGCAACTTGATTTAGTGTGAGACTAAATTTGAGCCTCAGTTCTACTTCTTTGTGATTTAAGACAAGTCAGATAACCTTTCTCAGTCTTAGTTTCTTCACCCATATACTGGGGATAATAATAGTGTCTGCCTCCTAGAGTGGTTTTGAGGTTTAAACGAGATAATAACAGCTGGCCAGCTTTTTTTTTTTTTTTTTAACCTGAAAGAATGTACATGAAAGCAGTGTTGGAAGCAGTATAGCAGATACTGCTATCTATGGGCCCTGGAGCCAGACTGTTGGGGCTTAAATTGTGCCTCCGCTGCTTGTTAGCTGTGTGACTTTGAACAGGTTGCTTTAACTTCTATGTGCCTCAGTATTCTCATCTGAAAAGTGGTTCTCATCTGCAAAAGGTATAGTAATGGCCTCTGCACAAGAAGTGGCTAAAAAGATTTTTTTTAAAAAACCAGGCACCCAGAACTAGTTCAACACTAGTTAGCATATATCACTGCTATTATTTTTCAAATTATTGCCATAGAGTCTGTGTATCTGCCTATGACTTCACCCTCCTTTCTGCTTCCTGTATTATTTCCCCTGAGACCTGGAGTCGATCTACTTCAAGTTCAAGATCCCCATGGCTTGAGATCCCCATGAGGCTTACAACTACCTCATAATATGTAAAAAACATCAGCCTTAAAAGTTAGCTGAGGTGGGCAGGGGACAGTGAGAATAAATAAGGTAGTTTTAAAAAGCATATTTACCATAACAATTTTATATTTAGTAAAAAAATGTCATTTTCATATTTCACACATCATAAAGGCACATTTTTAATGTTGCTCAAAAGGAATCACGCTACTTAAAAGTTTGAGAAACATCAGTTCAAAGCATTACTAGAAGAAAAAAATGCATAACACCATTTTTAAAAATCCTTACACATGAGCCTCTTTCCATACTTTTTGTAAGTGCTACCTGATACATAACATCCATAGTATTTTTGAGATTCCCAAAAATACTGTGTCACTAGTATATGAAGAACTTCCATTTTAAGAATAAAAATAATAAAAATTTTTGATAATAAAATTTTTAGAAATGTCTTAAACTGAATTGAAATAATTGGAAACATTTATTAAGTTCTTATGTATGTGAATAAATTTCAATAATGTGGCTTAAATTTGTTTTATTTTATAGGATGGCTTCTGGAAACTTACGCCAGAACTGGGATTTATATTAAACCTTAATACAAATATTTTAAACAGCTTTCTTGAACAAAAAGGCATTCGATCTCTGGGTAAGTCACCATTTTTCTATTAATTAAATGGCATGCTCTTAATTGTTGTAAATTTTGTTGTAAACTAGTGTACTAATATGATAATTATGTAAGTTACCTATGAATGGAATTTTATTTGTTAACCATCAAGGAAACAGAGGACTAACTTATAGTCATATCTTTATCAATAATTAGGGTATTGCCTGTGCAAATTAATTAGCATAAGTAGCAGTAACTTCTATTTTAAAAATCCAACATTTCAGTAGCTTAACATAAAGATTATTTTCTTGCCCATATCACAGTAAAATAGTGGTCAGCAGAAAATTCCACTCCAGGTTGTCATTTAGAGACCCAGGCTCCTTCCATATTGTGGCTCAACCATTATCAAAAGTGTCTTTGAAATTACTCTAGTAAAAAGAAAAGAAGAAAATTGCTCTGGCATCACCTACCTGGTAGATAGGAGGAGAAAAGAGAAAATGTGGCAGGATCTAGTAACAGAACTCCATCCAGACACAAGAAGGCTGGGAAATGTACTTTAACTTTGTGTTAAGGAAGAGAAAACAGCTTTTATGAGCATCTAGTCAGTCTTTACCGGAGCAAGTTCAACGTCTATGGGCCTGTTTCTTGTCATGATAATGAAGGGGATGGATGAGCAAGTAGTTTAAAGGTGAAATGCTAGTCCTAGGTTAAGAGATTTTTTTAAAATTTTTTTGAGATTTTTTTTTAATAAAATAAACATTTTATTAAACAACTAGTCAGTATTCATTGAACAGCAATGTCTAACTACCCTGCCATCTCCTCAAAAAATGTTAGGGTTTTCATACTCCAGGCTTATCCGAGGGTTAGCAGATCTTTGTTTGACTTGCACTATACTAAAAAGAAATGATGAATATCTGCATGAGGAGAATTCTAGTTCCTGGAATGATAAAAGAGATTGTATCAGACTAACTCTCCTACCAAAAACATTTCTTTACCCCAGACAAAATATTTTAAAACCACTCCTTTAAGACCTGTAATGCAATAAAAAAAACAAGCAGAAACCAAAGGGTACAAAATCCCCCCAAAAAAAGAAGAAAATGAGGTGAGCTCCACATTTATCCAGCTGTTCAAAGGTACTTCTCAGTTCATGAGGCACTTGAGAGGTTAGAACTGAAACAGAAAGTCTTAATGGGATATTGACAAAGGGGTCAGAGTTCAAGGCTGCCAGAGTAGCTGGAAATTAAGGGTGAAAAACCTAGAAAGGAGTGAGCCATGGAGCAGGGAGCTCTGAAATCTGCATACAAATTCCCTCAGATCATTGGTTCTCCCCTAACCCATATATACACAGGGTGTGACTTCAAGGAATCCAGAAAAAAGCAACAACTAGAAAGAAAGAGTAGAGCAGGGATTTCGGCTGCTGCCAAGTTTTGGGGAGACAGAATTTGGCATTTGAATTATAGCAAGTTAGAATTTATAAACATCTCAAATTTTCCACTAAAACTCAAAAAGGGTCAAAAGAACCATAAATCATGATCAAAGACTACCACAGAATGAAGGGGAAATACGAAATAGGCCCACCCTAACAAAACCTAAAACAAAGCTTTCAAAGGATACACCAGAACAAAACTCAACACTCTTTAGAATAAGATAGCATAATCCAGAGTCTCCACAATTTTCACAGTACAATCTAGAATGAAAATTTAATAACATACAAAGAAGCAGGAAAATATGACTTATAATCTAGGGGAAAATGGACTACAGATGCTGACCTACAGATGCCCCTGATGTTGGAATTAGCAGACAAGGATTTAAACTGCTATTATAAATACAGTAAAGGATTTATCAGAAAAGAAGAACAGAATGGGTGAACAAATGCGAGGATCTCAGCAAATAGATGGAAACTATAAGAATCAAATGAAAATCCTAGAACTGGAAAATACGGTATCTTCAATGAAAGGGTCATTGGATGGGCTTAGTAGCAGAATGTACAAAACAAAACAAAAAAAGATCATGTAACTTAAATTACAATAATATAAAGTGGTAATAAAAATTACCCAAACTGAAGCATAGAAAAAAAATAGAATAAAAAAAGAAGAGAATCCAGGACATGTGGAATGATATCAAAAGGTTTTACATTTGTGTAATTGGGATCCCAAAAGGAAAGAGAGTAAATAGAAAAATGTTTGAATAAATAATAACTGAATTTTTTCTAAAATTGTTGAAAGACATCCAACTTAAAGATCTGAGAAATTCAACAGAACTTCAGGCAGGATAAATACAAATAGAACCACATTTAAGTAGACCAGAATCAAACTGCTGAAAACCACAGATAAATCTTTTTTATTTTATTTTATTTTATTTTATTATGTTAGTCACCAAACATCATTAGTTTTTTGTTTTTTTTTTTTAAGATTTTATTTATTTGACAGAGAGAGACAGAACACAAGCAGAGAGAGTGGGAGAGGGAGAAGCAGGCTTCTCGGTGAGCAGGGAGCCCGATGAGGGGCTTGATCCCAGGACCCTGGGATCATGACCTGAGCTGAAGGCAGATTCTTAATGACTGAGCCACCCAGGCGCCCCCATCATTAGCTTTTGATGTGGTGATCCACGATCCATTGTTTTTGTATAACACCCAGTGCTCCATGCAGTACATGCCCCCCTTAATACACATCACTGGGATAACCCATCCCTCTACCCCCGTCCCCTCTGGAACCCTGTTTGTTTCTCAGAGTCCATAGTCTCTCACGGTTCATCTCTCCCTCCGATTTCCCCAACCACAGATAAATCTTAAAGCAGACAGAAAACAAGGACACATTAGAGTCAGGAGAACATCTATAAGAATTTTTTTTTCTTTTTATTTGACAGAGAGAGACAGAGAGAGGGAACACAAGCAGGGGGAGTGGGAGAGGGAGAAGCAGGCCTCCCGTGGAGCTGGGAGCCCGATGTGGGGCTTGATCCCAGGACTCTGGGATCATGACCTGAGCCGAAGGCAGATGCTTAACAACTGAGCCACCCACATGCCACGAGACAGATTTTTTTTTTTTAAAGATTTTATTTATTTATTTGAGAGAGAGAGAATGAGAGACAGAGAGCACGAGAGGGAAGAGGGTCAGAGGGAGAAGCAGACTCCCTGCTGAGCAGGGAGCCCAATGCGGGACTCGATCCCGGGACTCCAGGATCATGACCTGAGCCGAAGGCAGTCGCTTAACCAACTGAGCCACCCAGGCGCCCTATTTTTTTTATTTTTAATCTTTTTTTTAATGATTTTATTTATTTGACAGAGAGAGAGAGTACAAGCAGGTGGAATAGCAGGCAGAGGGAGAGGGAGAGGGAGAAGCAGGCTCCCTGCAGAGCAAGGAGCCGGATGTGGGACTCAATCCCAGGACCCTGGGATCATGACCTGAGCTGAAGGCAGTCGCTTAAGCAACTGAGCCACCCAGGCACCTCAGATTTTTTTTTAAAGTAGGCTCCACAGTGGAGCCCAACACAGGGCTTGAACTCATGACCCTGAGCTCAAGACTCAAGTCCAGAACAAGAGTTGGACACTCAACCAACTGAGCCACCCAGGCACCCCAACATCTATAAGAATTATTTCACATCAGAAATAATGGAAGCTAGGGGCACCCAGGTGGTTCAGTTGGTTAAGCGGCTGCCTTCAGCTTAGGTCATGATCTCAGGGTCCTGGGATCGAGGCCCATGTCCATCTCTCTGCTCAGTGAGAAGCCTGGTTCTCCCTCTCCCTCTGCCTGCTGCTCCAACTGCTTGTGCGCTCTCTCTCTCTCAAATAAATAAATAAAATCTTAAAAAAAAAAAAGAATGGAAACTAAAAGGTAATCGAATAATATCTTTAAAGTGCTGAAAGAAAAAGCCCTATAAACTAAGAACTCTATATCCAGCAGAAAAGATCCTTTAAAAATAAAGGAGAGGGACACTTGGGTGGCTCAGTTAAGCGTCTCCCTTCGGCTGGGATCGTGATCCTGGAGTCCTGGGATCAGTGGGGCTCCTTGCTCAGCAGGGAGCCTGCGTCTCCTTCTGCTTGCTTCTCCCTCTGCCTGTTGCTCTCCCTGCTTGTGCACTTGTGCTCTCTCTCTCTCTCTCTGGCAAATAAATAAAATCTTTAAGAAACATAAATAAAAAATAAAAATAAAGGAGGCTTTTTTCCATAATCATAAATACAGAGAACAAATTGGCAGTTGCCAGAGGGAACAGGGTTGGAAGGGACGGGCAAATAGGTGAAGAGTATTAAGAGGTACAAATTTCCAGTTATAAAGATATAATAATGGGGATGAAAAGTATAGCATAGGGAATATTAGTCATAATATTGTAATAACATTGTATGATGACAGATGGTAATTACATCTATGATTGTGAGCGTAGTATAATGTATAGAATTATTAAATGACTATGTTGTGCACCTGTAACTAATATAACACTGTATGTCAAGTATACCTTAGTTTAAAAAAGAAAACACGAAAAACAAGTAACTAAAATGTATCTATCTATATATATGTATGTATTCAGATTAACAAAAAACCTGAAAAAAAGAAGAAATGAAGGAAATTAACAAAAGTCAGACAAACAAAAGCTGAGACAATGTCAAAGGACATAAGGTCAAAATACAAAAATCAATTTTAATTTCATGTACTAGCCACAAATACTTGGAAAATACAATTTTAAAATACCATTTATAATGGTATTAAAAACATCAAATGCTTAACAATAATTTTTTTAAAAGATATGCAAGATTTCTAAAATGAAAACTACAAAACATTATTGAATTTTTTTTTAAAGATTTTATTTATTTGAGAGAGAGTGAGAGAGCACAAAGCAGGGGGAGTGGCAGAGGGAGCGGCAGAGGAAGGGGCAGAGGGAGAAGGAAAAGCAGGCTCTCTGCTGAGCAAGGAGCGCAATGTGGGACTTGATCCCAGGACCCTGGGATCATGATCTGAGCTGAAGGCAGGCTTAACTGACTGAGCCACCCAGGTGCCCCAATTGAGAGAATTCTTAAAAGATTAAGATAAATGGAGAAAAATTTTAAGGTA